TCGGTAAACACTTTAAACGCCTATTTTTTTTATGGGTAGCTGGATCATAGAAAGTGATGGAGCTACTTAAAATTTGATACTTTGTGATGAGTCATTGTGGTGAGGATAATGGGATGCGGAGTGGTTGATTGATGGTTGTTGTGGATTAATGGAAGGATGGAGAACCGCTTGAGTGCCGGGACACTAGTTTTGAGGTTATGTGACCCCAAATTCTGAATTTTCTATCTTTTCCCATCATGTTGTTATCCCCTTGCATATAACCTAAATTCCATACCCAACCCCAAAAAACATTTCTCATTGCCTGCCTCATTCTATGCCTTGCTAACTTCCTTCCTGTTGTCTTACACAATTGTCTGTACATAGACATGCCCAAATAATAGAAAAATTCTTAGTAATTAATGACTTTATATGATTATTTATGACTGTACATGTTTCATGTCTTTAAAATGCATTTGCAATGGCTTTTTAAACGTTTCCGAATGGCTTTATTACTTCTGCTACATTAGTCTCGACTATAAAATTCCATGTTATGTCATGTTCAAATATGTATCGGAAGAATGTGCAGCAATGACGATAATGCACATAAAAGTTTTGTAATTGCCGTGAAAAATTTGATAAGTAATGAGCACTAATGAGCTATTCATTTTGTAAATTATGGCAAGAATATAGACTGTGAGGGAGGTTCCGATGAGCTTCCTTAAGTAGATTATTATGACACACTTATGAGGCACTTTGTGAAGGATTGTCAAGTGCATACACGATGGGTGATGGAAATTCTTTAAAGACTTCCGAGTTGTTTTTTTTTGTGTTTAAAATGTTTAAAGGAGGTGCAATAAGTTGGTTTATCGGGAATTATTGGCTATTTTGAGTTGTACTTTGAGGTTAGAATTCGTATTTTGAGGTTAGAATTTAAAATTTTGAGGTTAGAACCTAAAGTTTGAGGTTAGAATCTCAACTTTTCTCAATTTTTAGGTTAGAATAACTAGTTTTGAGGTAATGATCAACATTTGAGGTTAGATCTCCACAATTTGAGGTTAGAATCTCAAATTTTGAGGTTATGTCTACCAGTTTAGTGTCAAACCTGTCCATTTCAATCCTTAAACCTTGAATTTTGAGGTTAGAACCCCTAAAACTCTCCACAATCAGAGACAATACCCAAAAAAACTCATCGCAAATCAACAACTTCCTCAATTCCTCACCCATTTACCCAATATTTAACTCTAATTTCGTTCCATTTCCGTTCCTTCAATTCTTTCATATCTCAGACATTAAAATTCTGACAAACAATTTAATTAAATCAAACATTAAAAATTGTTTTTTAACAAAAGAGATTCCTAGTGAGCTATCAACTTAGCATGAATTGAGTCATAAAGTAATAAAAAATGAAGTAGCGAGACGTAATTTTTATTTCCTTCATTTAATGCCTCATTTAATGTCTTTTTCTTCTCCTTTTCTTCATTCTTTTGGTTGCTGAGACTCGATATGGACATGAGTTGAGAGGTGGAGTTAGGGTTTGGGGGGGGGGGGGGTGGTTCTGATAGATTCTTGCGATTTGGTTGAGCAAGTTCAATCTTTTTAAATCTAAACCTTTATTAGAAGGAGTTCCATCGGACCCCTTTGACCCCCCCCCCCCTCCTCCTTAGTCTATCGCTCATAATATTCAGCAAAACACAAATATTATTTTTTTTGAAAGTTTTTTTTATGGCATGTTTTACAAATGGACATGTTTTGGAAGTTGTTAAAAAGGTTTATAGACGAAAAATGTGTTTCTTGGTTGTGGATTTATGAGCTTTGTCTATTTTGGGACGTCTCAGGCACACTGTAGGGGCTGTTACTGATGATGGATGTATTGGCATTAAATTGGACTCTTTTTTGCAGGAAATAATATGAAATTTTTATGAACTTGAAGGCAGACGAGACTAAATGTGAAATGACAATTTTGAGGGGATTTTGTTAAGTTTGACAATTATTGGGGATCAAAAGTTGATTTTTGAAGATAATTTGAATTTTTTGAGGTTATGGAACTAAAACTTAGAATCTCAAAACTTAAGTTTTCAAAGAACTAGCTTCAAATTTTGAATTATTTTCTACCTGCTCCAAATCAGACTTATTGATTACCTCCTGTGCCTACGTGACTCCAAAAAAAGCACCTCCAATCTCCAAAAATTCCGCCCATCAAAAAAATCTCATTAAATAATTTTCTAATAAATTCAACACTCAAACAACAATAATTAATAAAAACCCAATCGAGCCCATTTTTATCATCCCAAGACTCAGCACAAATTTACATTCGACACTCCCCACAAAAAAAATTCTTCATAATTTCTACCTCAATTTTTATCATTATTTAATATTCTCATGAAATAAAATAATTTTTTTTATGATTTTTTCCAACTTTTTTTTATCACACTTTTAATTTTTTTCCGCTGCTTAACAATGCGCATATATTTATCATATTTAGTAGTTGGCACGTACGAGTGAGCTTGGAGCTGTGCATTTTGAATAATTTTTCGATTATGGTGAGGATTTGAAGTTGGCTTGATGGCTATTAATGAAAGTAAATGTTGGGAAATTGAGGAGAATTTCGATATTTTTTGAATCATTGAGTCGAGTTGGGTTTACATTGAGAAAATAGCTAGTTTGAGGAGACTTAGTGGCCTCTATAGAACCTTTGAGGCTAATATAAAGACTCAATATATCCTAAGATACTGTTATTATGGGGGGGGTTCACTTATTACGTAATGCTTCTAGGAGAGAAAGAAATCTGGATTTTGTGAACGGCCCTTAGGATTATTGTTAAAGCAGGTCTTTGCTGTTTTGTTTGTAAAATTGAGAATTTATTGAAAATTTTGAGGTTATATCAATAATTTCTAGGTTAAAATCCAAACTTGGAGGTTAGAATCTACAATTAATGACGATCAAGAAGCTACACAACATGCACATCACATAAAAATGACAAATTAATTGTCAAAAAAATCATCAAAAATTAAAAAAACAATGCGAAAATTCTAGCATGAAAAAATGACAAATTCATTACTAGATTGACGGAGCTTGACATTTTTATTACAATAGTTTGTGTCTTTTATTTATATTTTGGAACTAACACACGCGCTGGATGTGAAACTTGCCTTCTCATTATCATAAAATTCATCATGTATTATGCGCCCATATGTCATCGTGTGTCATATGACTGAGTTTGAATTTGAGGGGTCTTTAATTCTTTTTTTGATGGATTGGGTTGAATTTAGTATATTTTTGAAGGTTATGGCTGAATTGTGAGGATTTTTAGATTTCTAACCTCAAAATATGGACAATTTTAGATTCTAACCTCAAATTTAATACACAAAATCACAAATTATGCTATAAAAACCAATCTTGCCCGCAATCGAAGCTTAAACTGCTCTCTTTACATCCCATAAGTTCACAACTCATGACCCCTTGACAACAGCCAGCACTCAGCACAGCAAACAAAAAAAGAATCTCTCAATGAATGTCGCATTCATCTTCACAATTTAAGTCTATTTTTTTTCTATGTAATTAATGCAAATAAGTCTTCATAATGCCGAGTCCATTTATGACAATAACTTAATCCCTCTTAATTGCCTCGAATGTTTCTTTACGTCATGTTGGAACTACTTTAAATGAAAATTATGTTGAACCCTTTTTGAGACTTTGTTTACTGAACGATTTTTAATGTTTTTGAATGTGAGACTTGAAAAGGGTTAAACGGCTTTTTTTTTTCGTCTTGAAGAATAAATAAAGCGATTGAGGAAGTAAATGGGATTGGTGAGGATGAAAAATGAAGATATGGGCAAATGAACTTTTAGGTTAGACTTTTGAAAATTCTCGTGTTTTGATGTTAAAATTTCAAAATGCAAGTGTTTTGACGTTAGTATTACAAATTTAAACAAATTTTGAGGTTTGAATTTAAATTCGAACAAGTTTAGAGGTTAGAACTCAAATTTAAACAAATTTTGAGGTTAGAATTCAAATTTAAACAAATTTTGAGGTTAGAATCCAAATTAAAACAAATTTTGAGATTAGAATCCAAATTTCCAAAAGTTTTAAACTTAAAATCCAAGTTTAAACACGTTTTGAGGTTAGATTTCAAAATTTGAGGTTAGACATCCAAAATTCGAGTCAAATTCCACCCATAATCATCCAAATTTCCCACATCATAACGACACACTCACTTCCTCCTTAGCAGTAATCAAAAACCGTCTCTCAATTTATCATCCCAAAATGTATTACGTCTATAAATTCATCACCGCATAAATCCACGTCTCATAAACGAGAATCAACATTACATTTTATATTATTTCTTCTCTTTGTACATAAATTCATTTTTTTGGATTGAAATAGAACAGAAAAAAAACTGAGGAGCGAGAAGAAAAATTTACTTAACAGTCATTTAGTAAGTCAGTCAGTAGATATGGTTGGAATGTGAATTGTGTGTCATTAAATGCATGAATGAAGCTAAATGTTCTCGAAAAATAGTATTGTAAGTCATTGTTGAGGCATTTTTTGGGGGTTCTTGTGAGACTTTGTGATGCCTTTTGAGTAAATAATTGAGGTTTTTGCTACTATGAGGCGATATTAATTCTCAAAGATGTGAATCTTTGCCTCAAAGATGCAAATTTATGCCTCAATGATGGTAATGTTTGCCTCAATGATGCAAATGATTGCTGTATAAATACAGACTTTTACCTCAAAAATGCAGAACTTTGCTTCAAAGATGCAGAATTTTGCTTCAAAGATGCAGAACATTTGCTTCTAAGATGTAGAACATCTGGTTTTAAAATGCAGATCATCTGCTTTTAATATGCAGATCATCTGCTTCTAAAATGCAGACTTTCGCTTCAATGAAGCAAACTTTTGCGTCAAAGATGCGAATTGTTCGCATCATTTACTTATAATGTTACAATATTTTCCCGGATAAACACCCAATCCCTAAACATAGAGCTCCAAATTAAAAATGAAAAATCATCAAGATTACTCACCTCATATTTCAATCCACTCAAGCGCAACCATGTTTCAACTTTGAGCACATATGGTGAGAGAGATGGAAGCGATGTTGTACGTGCAAATTGATACAAATATACCACATCCTTCTCGAAATTTTGTTTAAAGACGTTAGGCTTTTTTGGTGCTGGCTCTTTGGCTGGAGCAGCTTCTTTTGGTGCCTCCTTAACCTCTTCGACTGCCTTTTCAGCTGATTCCTCAACAACTGGTGTTGCCTCAACTTCAGCAACTTCTTCTTTCTTCTCTTCTGCTGCTGGAACTGATGGTGTGTTTTCAACTTCTGTTGCCATTTCTTTTAACTTGTTTTTTTCACTTGCGAATACAAAAAATTATCTTTTTAAGGAAATTCCTGTGAGGATGAAAAAGAGAATATTAAGACATGAGTATAATGGCACAAATACAAGCATAGATGCTAGAAAATTTCCATATTCGGTATGGAAAAAAAATCTGTTTGTCTGTGCGTCGGCACACACATTGATGGAATTAACCACCCTGTATTGTGCTGCATAAATCGGAGATGAAGGACTCAAATGGTGGCTGCAATTTTACACAAATACACACAAACTATATTTTTTTATGTAGTCAGTCGAAGGGGGAAATAGAGAGACACATGCAATCCGCACCCTTTTCTGAGGATTTTTTTTACTTTTGACTACTTTAAGATTTGATTGTGTTGGTGAGAATGGTTTGGATGTGTGAGAATTGAAAAATTCCCTCTATTCTCTAAACGTGATTAATTCTCATTTTATGGAAATTTTTACATGCCGCTTTCCTTTCATTTATTATTATTTTACTATTTTTTTTGTACTATTTTCATCGCAAGTCTAATGAAGAATTTTAATGAGATTTTGTGAATTTTAATTTTTTTATTGCTTCAAAGATGCAAACTTTCGCTTCATAGATGCAAATTTTTGCTTCACAGATGCAAACTTTTGGCTCAATGTAGCAGAACGTTTAAAAATAGTGAACTTTCGCTACAAAGATGCGAGATTTCACTTTAAAGACGCAAATTTTCGGTTCACAGTTGCGAAATTTTGCTTCAAAGATGGAAACTTTTAATTTAAAGATGTGAAATTTTGCTTCAAAGATGCGAATTTTGCTTCAAAGATGCGAGCTTTTGCTTCAAAGATGCAAACTTTTGCTTCAAAGACGCAAACTTTTGTTTTAAAAATTCTTGATTCCCAACGCACCCCTCACACCTAGTATCAATCACCACGATCCCTATAATGACATGCTGCTACTGATAGTTTGTGAATTGTAATCGAGAACGACTTCGTTGGGTGCCAATTTTTATGTTTCCCGATAAAAATATCATAAAGATATTTTTCAGTAATATATTGAGGTTAATTTGAATATTCAACGGCGTAACTGCTGCCGATATTTCGGTAAATATTCACGTAGAGATAATTGAAGATATAAAAAGCTAAAAAAACTGTTTTGATTTTAATGAGATGGCAAGTTGAAAGGCGAAATTTTTTGAGAAATTAGAAATTTTTTTAAACTTTCTTAATCAATTTTTTTTAACTTTTGAGAATTCAATCATTTGAATCTCTTGAAGTTTAAAGATTCTTTTACATAAACTCTGTAATTGAATTCCTCAAAACTTACTTTAGAGCTTCCCACAAAGAAATTATTGAAGTCTTTTTCTTAGAATATATATTTTTGGAATATTTGCTCTTCAGAAACGTGCCGAATTTGATTGACTTCAAATTGAACTTGGAATTGGGTTGTTTTTGGAGTTGGAAGGTTGATGATAAGCAGATATAAGGTTGCAAGAGGTTCAAAGATGTTCAGTTACTGCAGCTTGCATTTATCTAATTTTCTAAAACTCCAAGCTATGACTCACTCAACTGACTCAAAATTCTTTTGAAATGATCAGCAAAACCACCAACAAAATATTCAAAAACTGACTCAAAAAGCTTCCTGTGATTCATAACATCACTTTTATCAATAAATTTCATTGTGGTTTATATTTGTGTATTTTCGTATCACTACAAATGTTTTTTATAGGTCGATACTTTTATTTTTGGCTCATGTTGTTCTGTACTCATGCGAAATATTGAAATTTGTTTCCCTTTTTACGATCATCCGCAATCGATATATTCAGATTTTTTATGGCTCTTTTGTGTGTTTTTGGTGATAGGTTGATTAATTTTTGGGGATATTTTTGGTTAAGATTGAAGCGTTGGTTTAGAAAAAATATCCCTAAATATCCTCTAATAATTCTTAAAGATTACAGGTTATTCTATTCTTAATTAACAAATAATATCTCTTAAATATCTTTAAATATCCCTAAATATCCCCAAATATCCCCAAATATCCCCAAATATCCCTAAATATCCCGTCAATAGTATTTAATTAAAATAAAATTGTTACTCAAAAATCTACAATTTAACAATATATTTGAAAAATGACTTAACTTCTCAACCCATCTTGAACGCCCCTACCTCCCCCCCTCCCCCAAATCCACCCCTTTCTTCCAATACACGAATTAAAAAACTCTCATTACTCATTCTTCACTCCAATTTACTTTTATGCAATTAAAATAAATTTTTTTTCTTTGTTTCAAAATCGATTTTTTTTAACTTCACTCCTGACGATAATAAAAATAAATTTCCATGAAATTAAAAAAAAAATCGAGTGAGCATAAAAATAGAAAAGAAAATTGCCAATGAATCATCGAACTCAAATTATGGGTTTTTCGTCTGTTGTGGCTGCAATTTGCAGTTATTGGAAATGAAAATGAACTTTTGATTTTTCAGGAAGTGAAAATAAAATTGGAATAGATTTTTGTGTGGCTTCTGGGAAGGATTTTGATGATGAGTCATTGGTTTATGATGGTTTAGCTGGAAACTTGGAGGATTGTGTGCAGTTCAAGTGCCTTAGTTTCAACCTTATTCACGAATTAAAGACAAATTAGCTAAATGCCATCCATTAATCACCGTCTCATTTCATAATTTACTAAACCAACAGCAGTTTAAGCCTAATAAGTACTCAAAATATGACAAATTGCCACTCAAGTCTTAGCCAAATGCCAATGACACCAAACTATCCATACCTAATCAGACATTGATGAATCTTATCATTAATTTACATCGAATAATTATCAACAATTACCAAAATAACTCAAATATTTCATTAGGTAGGCAGTTGGACAGGTAATTGACCCATGTGTAGCCTTAAATGTTATGCCAATAAGTATTTTTCACATTTAAATTCAATTTGGATTTTTTTAAATTGCATTAACTAGAGTTTTGGAAATTAGGTGCCTCCACATTAGAGTAGCTATTTTTAGGTGCCTTCACACTGTATTAGCTACGTTCAGGTGCTTTCACATTAGAATATCTAGTTTCAGGAGCTTTCACTCTGAAGTAGCTATTTTCAGGTGCCTTCACACTAGAGAACCTATGTTCAGGTGCATTCACACTGACGTAGATAGATTCAGGTGCCTTCACACTAATGTAGCTAGCTTCAGTTGCACTTATACTAGAGTAGCTTGGTTCAGTTGCCTTCACACTAGAGTGGCTAAGTTCAGGTGCCCTCACATTAATGTCAATACTCAAAAAATCTCAATCAAATTCAAAAACTCAATCTTAAAACCATCAAAAATCCACAAAAAGCCATGAAAATTCACAAAAAAGTGAGCCTCAATTACACACCAATTCCAAAACAATTACACCGATCCCCTCAATTCAATCTATCTCAACTCAAAAACACGCCAAAAAAAAGTAGCATACGAATCCGCACAAGTGTTTCTCTTTTGTTTATTCTTTTGTGTATTATTCATGTTCCAGCATGTAAAAAATACACAACAACAGCAAAAAAAATGAAGATATGAGAAGTCATTGAATCGAGCGAGTTAAAAAAAGAAAGAAAAAAAAATTAAAGAGCATGAAAAAGAAGAAAACAAACCAGAAATTTAAATGTCCGAATAGGAGAAGAAGAAGAAGTGAAGCACAACCGAGCACAGAACGGCAACGGCATATTAATAAAGAGGGGAAAAATTGATTTTATTTTTTTTCGGTAGGAAATTTGAGACAGTACTGGGAGAGTCACGGCTGCTCACTTTTGATACATTTTATGGAATAAATTAAATTTCGAAAAATATTTTGCATCATGCTCGTGTGTCGGTGAAATTTTACTTTTATTATTATTATTATTATTGGGAAAAATGATAAAGAATATCTATGAATATAAATTATGACATATAAAAAAATTGAGGCTTGAATGAGGCATGGTTGAGGATGAATGTTAAGGGGGTGGAAAATTTAATATGATGGAAAATTTTTGTCTTTTTCTTGCTTTTTTATTGCTGATGTCGTTTTCTGTAATGTTTGTGGTTTAATTATGAATATATTTTGAGTTTGAAAGAGAAGTTTGAGATAAAAACTTAATGTGAAGACACCTGAACCCAGCTACTCTAGTGTGAAGGCACCTGAACCTTGCTACTCTAGTTTGAAGGCACCTGAACTTTGCTACTCGAGTATGAAGACACATGAACCCAGCTACTCTAGTGTGAATGCACCTGAACATAGCTACTCTAGTGTGAAGCCAACTGAACCTAGCTACTCTAATGTAAAGGCACCTGAACTAAGTTACTATAATGTGAAGCCACCCGAATCTTCTTAAAAACCGATCTAATCTGCTCCTCAACATCTCCTCATTTAAATCATAATTAATAGCTACTAATAACTCATTAAACCATTAAATCGATTCCAAACGAGCATTCTGCTCAATTTCACAGTGATCAAAATCACCTCGTCTAATATCGCAATATCAAATTTCATTTCAAAATATAAAATAAATAAATTCCAATAACTTTCTAATTACCATTGCGAGTCTCATTAAGAGTCTCAAATACAAAATTTATTGTTTTCCATTTAAAATAAATTTTTTCAATGCGGTTGAATGCAAGTGGCATAAATTTCACGATAATGGACTTAATTCTTAACATATTGTCGAATATAATCATTTATTATTAAATTGTAATGTAGAGCAGCAATGAAAGTAAAAAAATTGCTGGCGCTTGAGTTTAATTTTATTTTATTTAAACTTTTTCTTTTTGTACTTTTTTTTCTCTTTTTCTTGTGGTAAGATTAAAATGAATTTTTTTTTGCTGGCTAATTTGGAATAATTTCCGTGTAATTTTCATTTTTTTTCAGCTTCTTGTTTTTACATTTTGTCAGATCTGATGGATTTATAAGTGAGACTGAGAAATTGTTGATTAATATTGAAGATTATGATATTGAGGAAGCTTCAAAACATAGTATTGATGTCTTCATATTAGAGTAGCTAGGTTCAGGTGTCTTCACACAAAAGTAGCTTGGTTCAGGTGTCTTCGCACAAGCATAGCTAGATTCAGGTGTCTTCACACTAGATTAACTAAGTTCAGGTGCATTCACACTAGTGTTGCTAGGTTCATGTGCCTTCACACTAGAACAACTAAGTTCAGGTGCCTTCACACTAGAGTAGCTATGTTCAGGTGCCTTCACACTAGTGTAGTTAAGTTCAGGTGCCTTCACACAAGAGTAGCTAGTCATTATTTATCCAAAATGTCAAAAAAAATTAATTACACATCAAAGCCCTTAAAAAATTTCAATTAAAATTCTTTAAAAAGTTCTTAACAACATAAAATCCCAGAAATGATCAAAAATCATCACTTTTATGCTACAATTTTTAACAACTATAATCATCTGTTTCCCAAATGTCCCTAAGATATTCGCATAACTCCCATCAATCTTCATGTGAATAACAAAAAAAAAAGTCTTCCATATGTGCAAAAAAATAGGAATATTTTAAGAAAAATAAAAAAATATTTAATTCACCACATGTCCATTAAAAAGTTGCTCTTATTTTTAATTTGTTGTATCGCACACAAGCAAAGAGCTGCGAGATGAGTCAATAAACTTTAAATTCGATGCTCCACTCGAGTTATTTATCATTGAGATGAGCAAAGATGATGAAAAAAGATTTCTCGAGTTGCAATTTCCTCAAAAACAAATGTGCACAGTTGAAAAAAATTTTCCCTTTTAGTCATAAAACTGTTGTTCAGACATTCATTTAAGCATGCCCATCATCATCATTAATATTATTATTATTATGTATGTCTGAAGAGTCAGTCGAGTAACTGAATGAGTCGAGTCAGAGTCAGTTAAATCCCATTATCATGTAACATGGAAATTGAGATTGTGAGGGCGATTGTGGAGTGGATTTGAGGGAGATAAGGCGCATTTTTGGAATTTAAGCTTGAATTTTGATAAGTTTTTGGAATTTTTGGTTCTAAATTTAACTTTTTCATAAATATTTCATCAAAAGATTACAGAATCTATCAAAAAAGAACAAAAAAGAATTGGTCTTGCTAGGACTCGAACCCACGACCTTTAGGTCCTAGCCTAGGTTTTTTCCCATGCACCTAACCACTTGAGCTACTAAGACCAAAAAATTTGGGCAAAAATTCAGGCTTAAAGACATATTTAAGTTGCATTAAAGTCAAATAACCTCTAAATTGCACCTATTGGGTCTTAATCTAGTCGCCTATGCTACAATCCTACCAAAACCAGCCCATGCAATCCCTCAAAGTCTGCTCATCGCCTCAAAACCCATCAAAACATTAACAAAACATACAAAAATAATAAAACTGCAATTGAAGCAAATGAAAGAAGAGAAAATGAAAAAAAAAATTTGACATAAATCCCAATTTCAGACAGCGCTTTGTGAGCCAGCAATGAAATGAAGTTGAAAGAAAAAGCAGCACAAGAAAAAAAATATTTTTTAATCAAGAAATTATAAAAAAAAACTTTCCACTTTTCTTGCTTCTTTTTTTCTGAATGAATTTCAAAGTAAAGAAAATATAATTCACAAAAAAAAATGATTATTATAATGAAAAAAAAAAAATCATCAGCGGATAGGCCGAGTCATTGTCAAGATTGAATGTAATCAACAGAAATGTATCACAATTTGGATGTTGTAGTAAACAATTTGTAATGATTAGACGATGAAATTAAATTTGTATTAGGTACTAGATGAATTGAGCAATTTTGGGATTGGACTTGAAGACTGGCTTGTCTAATGTTCTTTGTCTGGACGTTGACGAAATGATTTTTATGACTTGAAGACGAAGAAGTGAGGCGACTTTGGGTGGTCGGGGATTAATTTGAGTGATTTGGGATGTCTGATTAGTTCGTAATTAGTAAATTACTATTTTTAGTAGCTTCAGAATGGTAATTCTTGAGATTTTTGAATTTCTAGGCAGCAATTGTTAATTTTTCATGTCTTAAAGGACTTAATAGGCAAGAACTCATCAAAAAAAGGACAAAAAAGAACTGATCTGACTGAGACTTGAACCTACGACCTTCAGTGTCTGAACCTAGTAGAGAAACCTAGTTCTAATGCTCCAGGCTACCACCCAGCAAAAGATTGAACTGAAACTTTGGATAAAATGCTAATATAAAGCTAAGTTGACCTAAAAACTTTATTTTGAACAGTACATTCAATAAATTCATCCCAAAACCTCCTTCATCCTGAATTTTTCATGATCAAACATCAAAAAAATGCCTTTAAAAAATCCAATTCAATCTAAAATGCACGCTACATGTCAACCCTTGTGTTCATTACTGTTCACATCACGTACAATTCCCTTTCCCCGCAACTCCAACCGTCCCATTACCGAATGTCTTCTTCTTTGCCTATTTTATGAAGCTTAAAAAAAAAAATCTCGCAGATTTCTTAACAGTTGAAAATAAATTTCATTTCATCGCGTTTTTAATCTCCAATCATTAATTTTATGTACACAGGCAGCATCAGCATAAGTCCGAACAGCACAAAAGAAGTGAGGATTGAAAATTTACGATTGTGTGAGTGTCGAACGCACACCAACAAAAGTGCTCAATTTGAAGCATAAAAATTGAAATTTTTTTTTTCTTCCATTTTATTTCAACTTTTTTTTAACATATTTTCGCATTTTTTGAACGGAATTGATGAATTTTTTGAAAATTTATGCACCAAGTCGTCGATTTGTGTAAAATTTGCAGAGATTTTCGTTAATTTTCATAGAAAATTTTCACTTTAAATGTTAGCGTCCTTTTTATTCCTTCATACGCCCAAAAAAAATTTTTTTTTTCTCTTCATCTTTAAATGTAAAAAAAAGTTTTTTTGCACAGAATTTTTTTCCTCGCCGCACTAAAAACACTGAAAAAATTCAAAATTCACCTCTTTTAAAATTTTATTCAAAAATTTTCAGTCACTTTTTTTTGGAAATTATTCAAAAATTTATTATTTTATTTTTTTTTAATAAAATTTTTTTTTTCAACAACTTCTTTTTTTGTGTCACAACACAAGTCGCGCGTCTATTCGATACCGTTGACAAAGCACAACTGAGTCTAATCGCTCAACAGCGTACGCTTTTTCGGCTTTTTTTTGCCTTCTTGTGAATGCGCCGTTGCTGGAACTCTCTCGGATTTTTTTTTGGCTCTCTCGGCTGGAATTTTCTCTCACGATGCTCAAAATGGAACTGATATGATACGTTAGGGAACAAAAGGCATTAAACGAACATTTTTTTTTCTGTGTATTTTATGCTTCATATTGTGTTTGTGAGGAACTGAATGCGAGAATGTGAGGCTTGGGGTGACGTTATTAATGAATTTGTAATTTTTGTGAACAGTTCAATGGTTTGGTTGAAACATTTGAAGCGATTTTGGTTGCATTAAGTTATTAAATGATTTAACGGATTCATTTTATATTCAACGGGGGTGGGGCGTTAAGTGGGGGGAGAGGGGGGCAGTAAGGGGCAGTAAGTAAGGGGGAGGGGGAAGGGGACGGGAAGGGGACGGGAAGGGGACGGGAAGGGGACGGGAAGGGGACTGGAAATGGGAGACGGGAAGGGGACTGGAAATGGGAGACGGGAAGGGGACTGGAAATGGGAGACGGGAAGGGGACTGGAAATGGGAGACGGGAAGGGGACTGGAAATGGGAGACGGGAAGGGGACTGGAAATGGGAGACGGGAAGGGGACTGGAAATGGGAGACGGGAAGGGGACTGGAAATGGGAGACGGGAAGGGGACTGGAAATGGGAGACGGGAAGGGGACTGGAAATGGGAGACGGGAAGGGGACTGGAAATGGGAGACGGGAAGGGGACTGGAAATGGGAGACGGGAAGGGGACTGGAAATGTGGGACGTTAAGTGGGGGGAAGGGGGGCAGTAAGTAAGGGGGAGGGGACGGTAAGTAGGGATTTGAGGGTGGGAATTGGGGGAAGGAGGACGAAAAGTGGGTTGGGGGAGAGGGAAAACACCTCCCCCTAAACCCTTTTTGATTCTTATTTCAATTTTTGTAAGTTTTTTTGAGAAAATAAAATCTTTTTTGCTCCACGCTTAGTTCTTATCAATAACCTTTGTGCTTGAACTTACTTTCTTGGAAAATCAGCTATTATCTTGCAAATACTCTCAAAAGAAAAAAAATAATTGTCTTATTAGCATCACAGTTCCTCAATTTTGAGATTATTTTAAATCATTTTGGTGTCAACTTCGGAAGTCGTTGCATTAAAAACTGTTTATTCAAATTGAACACATATTTTACAGGGAAATTTAAAGAAGAATTGTAAATGTGATGTTGAAAATAATTGTGTAAGTTAGAAAAATTGAATAAAATTGTGCTAAAAAATTCTTAAATTAATAATTTTTTATTAATTTAGAATCTACTGTTTTCTTATCATTTCGCTTGACGGAGCGTTGTCGACTATTATTGAATGCAATTTTAATACTTTTAATAATTACAATACTGTTGGTCCAATATATAAATGCGAAGTCGAGAACAATCCAAACATCTTAACACAAGAATCAGCACAGATAAGTGAAATTAACGGAACACATACAATTTCAAAAAATAATGATTATGTGTTTGGATTTAAAGCTAATTTCAAAACAATCCAGGTCTTCCCAATCGGTATAGAAAAGTTTTTCAAAAATCTTAAATTGATTATTATTTTTTCTTGTCAATTAAAAGAAATTCATCAGTCAGATTTGAAAGTGTTTCCTGATTTGATTACATTTTCCCTTGCTTCTAATAAAATTGAGGTGATTGAGGAAGGATTATTTGATTTTAACCCTAATTTAGAGTTTGTAGCATTTTATGAAACTGAAATCATTCACATTGATCCAAATGTTTTTGATCATTTAACCAAATTAAGTCATATTCGATCTTTTGCTTCATGTTTTTATCAAGATATTTTCGGTTCTGAAGGAAAAGTCCAATCAAACATAAAAATTGTCAAATCGAATTGCACAAATTCAGAATTTCTGAATATTTCCAAAAAGGTAAAAAACCTCGAAATCAAATCCAAAACTATAACCTTAGAAGCACTTAGCATAAAACTTGATAAATTAGAAAAGGGCTTCAATTTTTCAAAGTTTTTGAAATTTCGACCAATTAGCTTAGTTTACCAAAATCTCAAGCAGACTGTCCGCTGCCATCTTTCGAATGTTCAATTAATTTCTAATGTCAGTAAAGTGGTGAAGTTGATGCAAAATACACACGCAGAATCTCAAACTAAGACTTACTCGATTTTGTCAAGAATTGATTCTCATCTTGCTAAGCATGACACTAAATTTGACCAAATTCAAAATTCTCATAATCAACTGCAAGACAATATGTTCAGCACCTATAGAAACATGATCACTAAGATTAGCCAGCCTACAAACTTACAAAATGAAATAAAAAGTTCAATTAGTCGAGTTGAATTTAAAGTCAATGAACTCAGTTCGTCCCATAAAGATGCAGTAATAAGTCAAACCCAAAAACTCAACGAACTTAAAATCTCACAAAATGACGTTAAAAATGTTCAATTTAACCTCAAAACAACCCTAGAATCCGTTAAAACCTCTCTAATTGAATCTCAAGAAACATCCTTTAGCAATCTAACCTCAAATTTCAATGAACTCAAAAAGAATATAAAATCTATTCAAGATGAGACAAGACTTTCGATTAGTGACATTGAGGTTAAGCTCAGTGACCACGTGGTCTTTCAAAATTATATTAAAGAGTCTATCAATAAAATTGCAGAAGTTGGCGATACGTTGGCAGGATTTGGTGAGAAATTGAGAAACTTTGATGGGAAATTTGAGGAGCTTGAAGGAAAGTTTGAAACTTTTGAGAGTATTCAAGAAAAAACTTCAAAAAAACTCGACCAAATTGAGCAAGAATTAACGAGCAAGTTTCAAGACATGTCAACAGATTTTAATGAAAAGGTTAAAGGAATCGAAAAGCGAATGATGAAGAAATTTGAGGACCTTTTGGAGCAAAAATTGGAAAAGTTCTTTACGCAGAAATTTGGATTTTAATGTTTTAAATTTTTTTTTATCTTTTAAAATTATTAAATATTGAAAATTTTTGTACTTTAAAAATTTAATAAAATTTATTTTTTCATCTTGTAATAAAAACTTTTTTGATTAAAATTTTTTCAAGAAAATTTCATCAATTTCAAGGCTTGGCCAATAAACATAAAAAAGTCTTTTTTAAATCACTCATGTTTATTGGCTCAGAAGTTTAAGGTTTTTTGGGATTTTCCAGAATAAATTCTGAGTTTTCACGCCTTGATTTTGAGCCTTTTTTCAGTTCTAAGTCATTTAAAATTGATGCTCAACAAAATTTTCCATCAAAAACTTCCATTTTCACTTCAGTCGGTGCTTTCAATCGCTGCAGACGGTTTTCTTTTGTACAAAAGAGTTGAAAATGGAAAATTTTTTAAATCGTTCAGCATTTCAGTGGAAATTTTTAGCTTTAAATTTGGAAAATTCTCAATTTTTAATAACTTTTAAGAGGAAATTTGGAAATTTTTTGATATTTTTAATTCACATTGTCAACATTTTAATTTATGGATTTGTAAGAAGTTACTTAAGATTTACAGAAGAAAGAGAAATTGGAGATTTGATTAGTGGATGTCAAGTCATCATTTTTTCAGGCATTATGCTGGTCAAGTACATCTTAATGTTCATCAATATGCCTGAAATCTCAAAAATCATCAAAATTTTACCTCAAAAATTGACCACAAATGAGAAAATGAAGTTTAATGTGAAGGAATTGACTCGAGAGGGTCTTAAGATCTTTCACATCTATGCTGCATTTCTAGGATTCTTCAGTATAATTTATATCATCAAAATGCAAATAAATCTAAACTTTAAAATGGTCGGAGGACTCTGGTGTCCACCTGGAAGTGATTTAATTAAAAGAATCTATTATATTTGGATCTTAATCCTTAATTTATCAGTTCTGCACCTTTGGATATACTCAGAGATCCTTAAATACGGCCTAATTGCAGTTACAACCATCGAATACCGAAAAATAGCTCAAAACTTTAAGAAAATTATTTTAAAATTCAGAAAAAAATTGAAAAAGAAGAAAAAATCCAAAAAGAAAAAAGTTCGATTTTTAAAAACTGTCGACTTTGGGAACAAAAAAGTCAAACTTAAAGCATCAAATAGTAATGGCAGTTTGACATCGGACGCAAGTAAAAGTTCAAATAGCTCAATCAATTCAAAATTAGCCAACATAACCTCAAAATTTCATGTTGCTGTGCCGATTCATTCGCCATTCTTTTTAATTTGTGGAAAAGAAGATGTTTTTGGTGCTGAATTGGGATTGTTTGGAGGTAAATTTTCATGACGGAATTTTAGCAGATATTTTTTTTCTGGCAGAATTTCACCGGATAAATTTTTTGCCAAAATTATAACGGATATTTTTTTTGCCAGAATCTTAGAAGATAAATTCATTTTTTAGAAATTCAGTTGACAAACTTTTCTGGCAGAATTCCAGCGGATAAATTGATCTGGCAGAATTCTGGCTTAATAAAAAAAATAAATAAATATCGGCTTAGAAACTCTTTTTCTCTTCATATAAACTTAAATCAAATTTCAAACTTTTTCATTCTTTTCAACTTCCAGAAGTCTCACATTCACTTTCATCTAAAAGTCAACCAAACACTCAACCAATCATCAGCCTTGAAGACCACTTCATTCAGCATCAATTCATCCCACTAGTCAAAAGACATTGCGAATTAACGGAAATTAAAAACACTTTAGAAAAGATTTTTGCTCCAGGATTCTTCCTAACTTACTACACGACTGGATTAACGCTGTGTCTTTATGCATTTCGGATATCAATATCATCAGACTTGACTGAGATTCTCTTCCTTATTATAGCTTTCATCACACAAGCTAATTTCGTTCGAGTTCAATGCTTTTTTGGTCAAGCTTTAGCAGATGCAATTGAAGATGTGGGAAAGGAGATTTATGAGAGTGGATGGGAAGACATTGAGGATGATCGAGTTAAGAAGATGCTGATGATGGTCATGATAAAGTCACAAAGGTCTACTGGACTTAGTATTTGGAAGTTTTCGAGGTTGAATATGAGTAGAATGACAATGGTGAGTTGATTTGGGAGTTTTGGCTGATATCTTGGTTTTGGCAGAATTTTAGCCGAACTTTCATTTGTCCAGAATTTTAACAGATTTTTGAAAATTAGGAATTCGGTCAGAAAATGGATGATTGAAAAATTTTAACAGATGATTTTTGGTAGACCAGAATTTGAGCGGATTTTTTGATCGGTAAAGAGTTTTGACAGAATTTTGTATAGACTAGAATTTCAGCAGAATTCCGGTTAATTCAGAATTTTATAAGATATTTCTTGAAAACCAAAATAATAATAAACCAAAATTCAGTCAATCTACTTTTCAGCGAATATATTGACGGTCCTGAATTTAAGCGGATTTTTTTTTTGAAAATCTTAATTTTCAGCAAGTTTAGAGTTTTAGCCGAATTTTCATCTGTACAGAATATTAACGGATTTTTTATTAAATCTTGATTTTTAGTGGATAAATCGACAGTTCAGAATCGATCAGATTAATTAATTTTTTCCATTCATATTTCCATTTTTAGATTCTACAATCAGCGTATTCATATTATACATTATGTAGGCAACTTTATAGTCAATAAGTGATTTAATTGATACCCAAAACTTACACTAAAACAATTAAGTCGATTCAAATTTTAATTACAGTTCTTTTGTCATCTTTAATTGGATTTAGACCTGGAAAAAGTTGGAATTAGACTCCATCAATTATTAATTTTAATAACTTAATTAATATTGAAAAGTTTGAAGTTGTAAAAGTTTATTTTTGGGGTGAATTTTATAAAATAAAAGACAAAACTACAATTTTAACATCAAATTAAATTAATTTTAATTTTTTTCAATCTCAAATTTTAAATCCAAAATCAACAAAAAATACTTTCGGATCACATTTTCCCGCCTTTTTTACAAACTCAAAAATTTATCAACAAAGCAAAGAAGAAAACCAGAAGCGAAACTTTTTTGTTTACAAATAAAAATCGTTTGAACAATAAATTTTAAATAATTTTCATTTAAAAATGTCATTTTCGTGTGAAAACTTGTGTCGGTCCTGCATGGAAGTAACTCAATCTGGGTCGGTTCTGTTGTTCAACAAGAAAAAGAAGCGAAAGACTCAAATTTGTCTGAATTATGAGGAAATATGCAATCTTAAGGTGAGAAATTGATGACATTTGTGAATTATTAAGGTTCCAGCTGTGAACATAGATCTAAGAGGCCATCTTAGACTCTTTTAGGTATCCCTGGACTAGCTTGTCAGTCGGGTTCTCAAAATATTCCAATTTCATCAAAAAACCAATTTACAATTTTAGGTCAAAGAAGACGACCAGCTACCACAACAACTCTGCATGTCCTGCGTCTCAGAGCTCAACAAGTCCTACGCCTTTCGCGAGCGATGCATCAGAACCTATAAAACCTTATGTGCCTATCTAGATCTTTCTGAAGATGACGAACCAGAAACAATAATTCTTCCACAATCTCCAGCATGTAGCAAGCAATTCAGTAAAGTTGATGAGACTTATGAGGAAATAGAAGTGACTGATGCTCTTCTGGATGCAGCTAAGGTTAAAGCATCAGAAACAAATGATGAAGTTATGCTGGAAATGGATGAAATTCAAACAATTTTAAATACACAAAATAGGAACCGAAACATAGCAAAAAATGAAAGTGAAGCGGATGACGGACTAGTTTTTATAATCCAGAATGTAAGTGACCAGGAACCGACAATAGAATCAAAAGAACCAAAAATCAGTTCCTATAAATGTGACCTTTGTGAATTGACATTTGTGAGGAAAAAGAATTTTGACAATCATGTCCGGAGGTTTCATGAAGAAGGTGACAATGACGATGCACCAGCTGACAAAAGGATCCGCCTTAAGCTTGCAAAAGATGACAAAGAAGACAGTCAAGCACTTTGGGAGAAGTTGCAACAAAATCCAGACGCTAAAAGCTGCAAAATGTGCGGAGCACTTTATGTCAATGAAAAGTCACTAAAGCTGCATGAGAGACGCAATGCCTGTCAACAAAAAAGCTATCAATGCTCACAATGTCCAAAGGTATTTACAGATCAGCAGCTATTTAGGGAACATACAGAAACTCATCCACAGGACAGCAATAATCCACCAGAGGAGATTCCATCGTTAAAAGTTGACATTGATCCAGCAAAGAAGTTCCAATGTGACTTTGAAAGTTGCGGGAAGTCCTTCAAAATGCTCTCGACACTAAAGGACCACCTGAGGACACACTCAAATGAGAAGCCATTCATCTGTAACATTTGTGGACGTGGATTTAGTCAGAATACAAACTTAAAGCAGCATTTGAGAAGACATACACAGATTAAGCCATTCAAGTGTAGTTTTGAGGGTTGTGGATCAGCATTTGTGAGTAAAGGCGAGCTGGACAGTCACTCGAGGAAGCATTCTGGTGATCATCCGTTTAAATGTGAGCTTTGTGATGCAAAGTTTACGACATCGAGCTCATTGACGAAGCATAAGAGGATACATTCGGGAGAGGTGAGGGATTTTTTATTTTTGTATTGTGTCCAGGAGCAAGCTAGAAGTAGGGTTAGCGCGAAGCTAGAATTGATTGAATCTAGCTTCATGTAAGACTTCCAACAGCATGTTCCTTAAGGCAATTCTAATAATGTACTTAATATTACAGAAACCGTACGCTTGTGAGTTCTGTCCTATGAGATTTACAGCACTTGGAACTCTTAAGAACCATACAAAGACACACACCGGAGAGAAGGTAAGAAGCACTTTAAAGTGACTATTTATGAAATCAGGATTAAAATGTCAATTTCCTTATTAAAGCCTCACAAATGTAAATACTGCAAACGTGCATTTACCCAAAAGTCTGACTTGACTGCTCATGAGAGGACACATACTGGAAGCAGGTAAGCTAAAGTATTTAATTTAGTTGCATTTGAATGACTTGGGAGTTCAACATTGGGACTATGGATGGGGGGGGGGGGGGGGGTCGGTTCTGAAGTTAAAACTCGATTACTAATCTATTTCATTTCAGGCCATTCACATGCACCATCTGCAACTCCAGCTTCCATCAGAGTGGAACATTAAAGAGCCACATGAAGATTCATGGCAATATAGAAATCGAGGAGCATGAGAATGAGGAACAATCAAGTCTGACTGAAAAAGAAAAGAAAAAGACATAAAATATTTTTAAGGTACTAACCATGTTGACTGTTGAGCTCTGAATTGTTACTTTACTAAATTTAGTATTTTAATATTTTGAATCTGTAAATAAAATTTTGTCAAAATTGAGAACTTTTTTTTTCTTGTAAACTTTTATTAAACTTATCTTTTTTTTTTGTTCTCTATTTACATACATGGATAGTTCATAAACATTACGATTCGAGGTTTGTTAGCCTCAATATTTTTTAAAACATTTTAAAAGTAAATTGGACAGTCAAAGACTTAACTTCCAATATCAAATTTTAACGATATTTTTTGAAAATTTCTATCAACGTTTATAGTTTCTTAATTGTAAGTTTTGAGTGCTGTGCTTTTTGAGAACTAAGTTGATGATGCTTGAATCTTAAGATTTGACTTTTTGTAGAGCCGGTCCTTAGTTTTTGAGCTGATTTTCAAGTGGTAGGTACAAACGGCTATGGAAAATATTCTAGTCCGAGAAAGCTAGGTTAGGTGTGCTTAGCTAGGATACTAGGCTAGCTAAGCAACCTTAATCAATCTCATTAGCAAATGTAAACACCTGGAGCATGTCATGTAGACGACCAAAACTAGTAGAGTACCACAGATGGTATCCTATATGATTCATATTCAGCTAAGCTCAACCAAAGCACAGTCTAAACCCCGAGCAACACAGCATTCATCATGACAACTATTAATTCTGATTATGATCCAAGATATGTCTTATTTAATCTTGGACTCCATCATTGCTCCATGACTCCCAAAAATCCCCTATGTTGCTCGGACCAAATATCATTAAAATTCAAAAGAATTCTCAATTTTTCAAATTTTTTTAGAAACAAAATAAAATCAAAAAATATTTTCAAACTAAAGTAAAAAAAAATTAAGCTTCAGCAGCTTCTTCCTCCTCTTCCTCACTTGGTGGTGGCATTTTAATCCTCTGACTCTCCTCCAACATGATTTGTGTCTCGCGCAACAACGGTCTCACAAAGTCACGCATAACACGTGACTGATCGCCATGCGTAAACTTTAACACATCACCGGCCTCACGAATGTGATGAATGGCAGTCTGAAATTCGTTTAGGTGTGGATAAATTTTACCTAATTTCAGGTGATCGATGCCGACAAGTGGATTGAGTGGCGATGTGTAGAAGCTAAAAATAAATTTTGAGGAATTTGATTAAAATTTTTCAAATTGAAAGTGCATTGAGCGAGGAAAATTTCGGATCTGATTGTGTAATTTAGTTTTTTTTGGCTTGTAAGTTGTGCTGACTTTGGGTATTTTTAGATTTTTGAGGAATTTGTCGGTGAATTTGACTGACTTTGCCGGATAGTTTGAGGAAGTAAAAGGAGTTTATATTGCTTTAAATGGAATTAAGATTCATGATTCTTCATGATTCAGACTGACAATTAAACAACTAGCTTTAGAGCCTTAGTCGTGCAACACACTAGCAAAATTGAGCAATCGAGCCAAACAGACAAACATCCAACCACAAAAGGAACTCGACTTTAAGAAAGCCAGTCAAAAAACCAGCTTGAAACCTAAGCTACCAATTTGAAAGCTAGACAACCAGACTTCATAGCAAGACTGAAAACGAGTCAACAATTTAGAAATCCAGCCTGATAACAACCCAGCAAGCCAAACAATCAAACAGACCAAAAAACTGCAATCTTCACAAAATTCAACTTACGATAGTCCTTGAACGAATTTCTTTCCATATCCAACAGCTTCCTCCCATGCTTCAAAGTCAATGGCAGATTCAAAAGCAAGATCCAGTGTCTTAAGATGCCAGATGTTCTTGTCATGAAGAACACCAGTTTGTTTTTTTATTAGATTTCGGCAAATGTCAATATCTGGAAGTAGATGAATGATTTTTTATAGATTTGTCAAGTCTGGAGGAATTTCTATGAGTTTAAGGGAAAGGTTTAGGTTAGGTATAGGTTAGGTATAGGTTAGGTATAGGTTAGGTATAGGTTAGGTATAGGTTAGGTATAGGTTAGGTATAGGTTAGGTATAGGTTAGGTATAGGTTAGGTATAGGTTAGGTATAGGTTAGGTATAGGTTAGGTATAGGTTAGGTATAGGTTAGGTATAGGTTAGGTATAGGTTAGGTATAGGTTAGGTATAGGTTAGGTACAGGTTAGGTACAGGCAAGATACAGGCTAGCTAAAGCATGTGTATGAACAAGATAAAGCCACTAACGATTTAAAAGAATTAATCACAACTTACATCGTGTTTCCTGCATTTCCTGAAGCATAACCTTTGTCATATCAAGCACATCATCAAAAGCACTACGATGCTCCTCTTTAATTTCTGTCTGACATTCCTTACACTTTTCATCCATAACATCAATGTATCCATCACATCCCTCTTTTGGACATGCCATTGCAACCATCTTAGCTCTCTGTTTCTCATCTTTACATCTGTCGCAGTCACAATCGAAATAGTAAGACCTTCTGAGTTCTTCCTTGCGTGTCTCTGGCAAGTCGAGTAGTTCAACATATGAAATTCTAATTTGGTCCCATTTAAGTTCTGGGATATCCTCAATTAATCTGATACTCAATTGTGGTCCTTCAAATGTTGCAACAGCATTTGGATTACAACTATGATCGAGAATTGATGCAGCAAGATAAATTCCAGTTCCAATTGAGTTCAAGTCATCATCAAGAATGTTGAAGCTGTTGATGCAGAGTCGTCCATAGATACCTAAGAATTCTGTCTGATTTGGGAGGTGCTCAGGTGCAAGATATTCCTTAAGGACAGCATAAAGACTCTGAACATGTTCCATTCTCTTCTCGTCCCACTTAATGTCCTCTAAATGAGCCATCAGGTCATTGAACTTTCTAAATCCATTACGTGAATAGTAAAATTTCTGCAAATATCCACCATATTGAAGTTTCCATATGATTTTGGCCATTATACGAGCTGCATCTGGAATTGATCGTGGTAAAATTTTCTTCATGCACAGGCACTCATACTTGTGTTCAGCCCAGGCATCACGTTGACATAAGACACCACAATAATGGGTGAAATGACATCCGCCACACTTGAGGAGCTTTCCAGTCGACAGACAAAAGTCGCAACGCTCTTTAATAAATTTTGATTTGACAATGTAGGCGAATGGCTTTTCCTGGAGGATCAAAGATCCTTTGGTTAGTGGCTCAGCACGTTTACTCATCTTTTCACTTTAAACTATTTTTTTCTTTTACTTCTAGAACGATCTTCACGACTCAAAAATTGATCGATAACTAAATGGGAATTTTTTGTGAATCGTCGACTATTGAACGATCGCTTCCTCGTTCCTATGGACGCTGTGATTAATTGACTTTATCACACTATTGCGATGCTTCGCACCTTCGGATGCTGCAAAATGAAATGAAAATTTTTTTTCTTGTTAATTTATTTTAGTTGTCTAAACTTAGATTTTTTTGTTATTTAATTGCATGCAGCAGAGCCAGCACGTTTTTTTTGATCGGAGAGATAACGAGCATTGAGTGTGATTGACTGCTGAGGGAAAAATTTGCATCTTTAATGCAAAAATTCGCATCTTAGAAGCAAAAAGTTTGCATCTCTGAAGCTAAAGTTTGCATCATTGAAGCAAAAGTTTGCATCATTGAAGCAAAAGTCGCATCTCGGAACCAAAAGTCTACAACTTTGAAGCTAAATTTCACATCTTTGAAATTCTGCATCATTAAAGCAAAAAATCGCATCATTGAGCCAAAACTTTGCATCATCGAAGCAAAAGTCGCATCATTGAAGCAAAAGTTCGGATCTCTGAACCAAAAGTCTACAACTTTGAAGCTAAATTTCACACCTTTGAAATTCTACATCATTGAAACAAAAGCTCGCATCATTGAAGAAAAAGTTCGCATCATTGAAGCAAAAGCTTGCATATTTGAACCAAAAGTCTACAACTTTGAAGCTAAATTTCACACCTTTGAAATTCTGTATCAAAGAAGCAAAAGTTCGAATCATTGGAGCAAAATTTTTCATCACTGAAGCAAAAGTTCGCATCTCTGAACCAAAAGTCGCATCATTGAAGCAAAAGTTTGCATCTCTGAACCAAAAGTCGCATCATTGAAGCAAAAGTTCGCATCTCTGAACCAAAAGTCTACAACTTTGAAGCTAAATTACACATCTTTGAAATTCTGCATCATTGAATCAAAATTTCGCATCATCGAAGCAAAAGTTTGCATCTTTGAAGCAAAAGTTTGCATGTCTGAACCAAAAATCTACAACTTTAAAGCTAAATTTCACATCTTTGAAATTCTGCACCATTGAAGCAAAAGTTCGCATCATTGAAGCAAAACTCGCATTATTGAAGCAAAAGTTCGCACCATTAAAGCAAAAGTTTGCATCATTGAAGCAAAAGTTTGCATCATTGAAGCAAAAGTTTGCATCATTGAAGCAAAAGTTCGCATCATTGAAGAAAATTTCGCATCATTGAAGCGAAAGTTCGCATCATTGAAGCGAAAGTTCGCATCATTGAAGCGAAAGTTCGCATCATTGAAGCAAAAGTTCGCATTATTAACAAAAAATCACGTTAAAATTCTCACCTGCGGTATTTTTCGACCTTATTTTAAGAACTCATTGATTCATTTAACGACGAGCTTAATTTAGTGCGATTGATCTGAGCTATTCTTATTTATTTACTCTTGCTCACTGTTTACTGCAATTGAAAATAATGAAAGTGTTGTCGTCACAGACCGAGTTGATTTATTTATAGAGCATTTAAGTTTGTCTTCTTATTTTTGATTCTCTTGTTATGTTTTTTTTTTTTTTGAGAAACTTTCAACAAGTTTCTTGGCTTTGTTGCAATATTTTTTATTTATGACTGAATTACTGATGATCTCAAAAATTTTAACTGCAAGTAAAAAATGATATAGTTTGAGTGAGTAACGCTAGGTTTGTTGATCACGAATGACTTTAAATAAATGTCCTAGGAAAAGCTATAATTAAGTTTAATATCCAGTTACAAAATGACACAGGAATGACACTAAAATCATATCATATTAAAAAATGAAGGAAGTAGCTTTTATCACGACTTTTCAATGCTATATAAAGTCAAACAAAAATGGTGGAGAGCAAACTAGTTCCTGGATAACTTTCTAAAAAGGTTCAAAAGCTAAAGAAAATGAAATTAATTTTTTGTGAATTGTTCATCGTGATTGCTGTCATTTCTGGTAAGTATGGCAAGAACATCCTGTTGGACATACAAAAAAAATCTAATTTTTATCTCTCTTTAGGCATTCATGGAGGTGGCGACTCAATCTGCAATTCCTACATCGAGACATTTGAAAAATTTAGTCCACAACTTCAAGTTACATTTCCACAAGCAATTAAACAATTGAAAACATTGGAACCGATTCCAGCCGTTAATTTTTACATCAACTATCTTATATTAAATGCTGACGAATCAATCACTTCCATTGAAGTGGAAGCTTTAATTATGTTTAGAGATTCAGGAGATGAGGCATCAACTTGCATTGTTTCATATTTAAAAAGTCAAAATTTGATTTGAATGGAATCAAGGGTTTTTTTTTGAATTTTTTCAGCTTACCATCGGTTTTGCCGATTTTTGGCACCCCCCAACCCCCCAACAGGCATTTTAACCAAAATTTAACTGATTGTTGCAAAACATATTTTTGTTTTAATTTAAATTTTAACTATTGTTGCACATTTGACCATGAATATTGACATTGCTTTCATAGAATTTATGACAAAAAAGAAATAAAATCAAAAATTAATTGTCTTTAAAAGAATTAAAATTTTTAAACTAGAAAATAAAAATAAAAAAGTTAAAATTAATCCATTTTCAGCAAAGTTGTGACTTTTTTTTATAATTTTAACTTTTTCCATCAAAAAACTATTGTAAAATTTACTATCCAGGTGCAAAATTTACAGCTATTAAATAAAAAAACAGGAAATTATTTTATTTTACATGTGCAAAGTCATATATAAAGGAAGGAAATATTGAAGAAAGTTAACCAAAGCCAAACAAAGTTTTAAGAAAGTTGCCAAAAAGAAAAAAATAAGTTAAAAAAAATGAAAGGAAATTTTGCAATTTTATTCATTGCAATTGCTGTATTTTCTGGTAATTTTTTCTAAATTTTCAATATTTTTGTTGAATTTTTAATTATTTTATATTTTTGATTTTCAATTTTTTTTAAAACCTTTCCAATTATTTTTACGTTTTTCAATTTTTTTTTACATTTTTTCAATTTTTTTAAAGAATTTTCAATTTCTTTAGAATTTTTTGAATTTTTTTTGAATTTTTTCAATTTGTTTTACATTTTTTCTATTTTTTTTAAATTTTTTCAATTTTTTTACATTATTCCAATTTTTTTACATTTAATTTTTTTTAAATTCTTACAATTTTTTTTACATTTTTTTTAATTTTTTTTACATTTTTTCAATTTTTTTAAAATTTTTCAATTTTTTTAATATTTTTTCAATTATTTTTACGTTTTTCAATTTGTTTTACATTTTTTCAATTTTTTAAATTTTTTTCAATTTTTTTTACATTATTTCAATTTTTTTACATTTAATTTTTTTAAATTTTTACAATTTTTTTACATTTTTCAATTTTTTTTACATTTTTTCAAATTTTTTACATTTTTTCAATTTTTTTTAAATTTTTAAAATTTTTTATTTTTGATTTAAATTCTCTTTTTCTTATTTTTTTTCATTCTTCAGTTTAATTTTACAACTTTAAAATCTTTTTTATGATTTTTATATATTTTAATTAAAAAGTTTATATTTTTTAATAATAATAAATTATTTTCTGATTTTCATTAAACCAGGCGTCAATGGAGGTGGAAATGCCGATTGTAGTTCTTACATTTCCCAATACAGAAACCTAAGCACTGCTGTTCAAACTGCATTTAAATCTGTTGTCATATCTGTTGGTCCATCAGACATTTACAATGTATTTCCATTGTTTATTGATTCATTTTTAACAAGTGGATCAGAGGAATTAAGTTCCGAGGATTTAGCAATTATAACTGTAATCAGTGCTGGAGGAGAAACAGCTACACAATGTCTTATTCCATACATTGCAGCTCCATAAATTGTTAAAAAAATTGTTTAAAAATAAAAATTTTGAAAAATAATTGTTTAATTCTTAAAAAAAATCGACTTTTATTCGACTTATTTCAGAGCTCGCGATGCACATGTAAACTTTCTGAAAATATATGAGGTTTGACAGCCCCTTCCAGCTTAATCTCAAAAGTGTCAATTTATGGCCAATAAGGGGATGTTCATAAATGACGTCCATTAAAAAACAAGATTTTTAGATCCCCTTTTAATATGTCCCAAAACTCTTAAACCCTTCCCTCCTTCCCCTAAATTTCAGACGTCATTTATGAACGTCCCATTACAGGAAACAAAGCATCAAATTGAAATCCTAAATCGTGACTTCTTTTGTCCTTTAATTTTCACAACACGACTTAAGTACTTTCTTTTTAGTAAGTTGATCGTGACATGAGCAATAAATTTTGTTCAAATCATTTTTTAGTAAGGAATATTCTCGGGAATAGCTTTATAAAAAGATAATATTATACAAAATAAATTAGATCCTGAGAAAACTTCAAGAAAATTGGAAATGAAAATAATATTTGCATTTGTATTAATTGCGGTTGTTACTGGTAAAATTTTGAATTTTTTTTGAATTTTTGTATTTTTGAATTTTTGAATTTTTGAATTTTTTAATTTTTGAATTTTTGAATTTTTGAATTTTTGAATTTTTGAATTTTTGAATTTTTGAATTTTTGAATTTTTGAATTTTTGAATTTTTGAATTTTTAAATTTTTAAATTTTTAAATTTTTAAATTTTTAAATTTTTAAATTTTTAAATTTTTAAATTTTTAAATTTTTAAATTTTTAAACTTTTAAATTTTTAAATTTTTAAATTTTTAAATTTTTGAATCTTCAAATTTTAATCCAAAACTTAGACGTTCATGGCGGTGGCGACTCTAATTGCAGCTCAAGTATTGCTCTTTACCAAAGCCTTAGCCTTCAACTTCGTTCTGGATTTTCAAACATTATAAAATCACCAAATGGAGCGGATCCGTATTTGATGTTCAAAAATATTGTTAAATCAATTGCAACAACTAGCCCAGGAAACTTAAGTCCAGCGGATATCGCAACCATACAAGTCATAAATGATGCAGGAGATGCAGCATTGACATGCATTTTTCCATATGTTATAATTCGTTGAAATTATAAAGTAAAAAAATATAAGTTGAAATAAAAAAAAATTATAATTGCTGTTTTATTTATCACAGTTTCTTGAAATTTGTTATGAAAAACATTTTACTTTTAATTTTTTCAAATTTCTTGATTTTTTTCCAAATTTGAATTTAATTTTTAAACACAGGCATTGATGGAGGTGGAAACTCTGAATGTAGTTCCACAATTGGATAAATTCTTCAAAATTTGTGCATCAAGTTCTGCATAAAATTATTCATAAATTATGCTTAAAATTCGGTTTCATAATTTTTTGCATAAATTATGTCGGTTCTATGAATCATAATCGACAATGTGGGCATCCACATGTCCAACTAGTTCATGCTTTTATTTCCGGACATGACTTAAATGCTTCCGGATGTTGGTTTTTAGTTCATTTTTAATATGCGAGAAAACTTTTTTTAATTTTCAAGGATTAAGAAAAGGGAATAAGAGGAGGGAGAGAAGGGGGGGAGGGGGGGGGGGGACTTTCATATCACAGATGAATTTAAACAGAAGTGATTTCTCAGAAATTTATTTTCCAGTCACGATTAAAACAAATCGTGATGTTTTGTGTCACTTGTTCCCTAATAAAAATTGTTTACCGGAACGAAAAGTTTTTTTTTTTCAATTTATCAAAAAGTATAAAAATGAGAAAAATTGTAGAAAATTGACTAGATTGTTCAAAGTTGCAAATAGAAAGTTTAATTTAATTTTTAAAAATGAAATTTTTTCTCCCAATTTTGATTATTTCAATAATCGCCAGTAAGTTTTTAATATTAATAAAAATAATAATATTTTTTTAATTTATTTAAATTTCCAAAGGTGTTCATGGAGGTGGCAATAGCGAGTGCAATGCTTATATTGATTTATTCAAAAGTCTAGACTTAAAAACTCAAGAATATTTCTTTACAACAATGAAGTTTGTACAGGAAAAAGATTATGAATCTTTTTTCAAATTACTGCTCCAAACTTTCTTTTTATCAGATTTGTCATATTATAGTCAAGATGATTTAACAAAATTAAATTTAATCAAAGCTGATGCGGATGATGCATCACCATGCATTATTCCAATATTTAAAAATCAATAAAATTTTTGAAAAATCAGTTTTAAATAACAAAATTGTTCAAATTGATTTAATTGAAAATTTTTGAATTTTTGAATTTTTGAATTTTTTGAATTTTTGAATTTTTGCTTATTGAACATTTCGCAACAAATGAAGCTGGTTTGAGTCAAGCAGATTTAGATATCATAAGAGCCATCAATGTTGCAGGAGATCCAGCAATAATTTGCATTTTTCCAAATATTCGGGTTCCATAAATTTTGTTGAGAATAAAAATTAAAAAAATTGTTAAAGTTTAAATTTTATTTTATTTAGAGATGTTCTGAATAATACAAAATGCTGCAAAATCAGCTTTTTTATTGAGGTTTTTTAGAATTTTTTCATCTGATTTACTTAAAATTGGATCAAAATTTCCTAAAATTCTGATTATTTCAATTTTAACTAGCGTAACCAAAAGTTCTGCAGCATAAATTTGACCATTTTGTATAAATTTTTTAAAATCTTCTTGAATCTTTGAACTAAGTTTGCTGAATTTTAAGTCAACTGATAAGCACGAGGAGTCACCACCGCCAAGCACACCTTTGCAAGAAATTCAAATTTTTTAAAAAAATTCACTTTTTTCTTTATTTATTTTTTTGAATACCTGCGATTAAAATAATAAAATAAGAAATTATCACAAAAATATGCTCCATTATTTAAAACACACGTCGATCTTCATGATATTCACTTTTGGAACTGCTTGAAATTTTTGTGTCACGACATTCGAGAATTTTTTATTTTAATTTTCATCACACTTTTTTAATTTTGAACTTTAATAAATTTTTTTTAAAAATAATAATAATAAAAAAAATAAAAAAATTAAAATAATAAATTTTTTTTTTAAAAATTTATAACCCAAAAATCAAGGCTTTCACACTCGGGATTAATCCCAAAAAATCCCAAAAAATCCCAAAAATCCCAAAAAATCTCAAAAAAATCCCAGCACTTCCTAATGTCCGATCTCAAAATTTCCAACGGATCCTGATATTATATGATGAATAGACTAGGGATTTCTTTGGGATTCCGAGATATCATGTGAAGAAAACATAAAACATTTTTTGGCGCCAAAAATATTTTTTTGAGTGTTTACGCCTTGCAAAAAATTGATTTTTATTAGCTTTTTTATCTTTTCGAAAATCGTTGACTTGGTCATTGCCACTGACAGCCATTGCTATTAACAATTGGAGGTTACAATTCGCCGATGGCTGATGGCAACGGCCAGCTTTTGCTGACTGCCCCCACTGGCGCGCCAACTCTGATTTTCAGTTCCTTAGTCTTTATGAATTAATCCATGCTAAAAGCTTGATATTCTGGATACTGATGCTTGTAAAAAGCTTAAAATAAGTGCTGATCTAGGAATGTCTAATGTCATTCCTGAGAAAGCCTTTAAATCCCAAAATCCACCTGTCGATTTCCGAGAATCACATCACGAATCTCAATTTTTCCACAAAACAAATTCTTCAAAAAGCTAATAAAACAATAGAAAAATTACAAAAAAAATAATGAAATTCACGATTTGCTGATGAAATCTTGCTTTTCAAGTCCTGACAGAATTTTTTATGAGGATTTCAAGTTGCGAGAAAAACACACAAGCTGGCCGCACAGGTGTGAAGCAACTTAAAGTATATAAAGCTTTAATTCCTAAGTCCAAGCTTGTCAGAAAGTTTGAGGACATTAAAGGTTGAACAATTCGTGAAAATATGAAGACAATTTTAGGATTTTTGATTCTTGGCTTATTTGCTGTGTCTAGTAAGTTGACTAAAGTAGTGATTTGTACTTATTTTAACAATTCATATCCATAGGTGTTCATTCTGGCGGCAACACAGGCTGCTCTGAAAATTACACATTGTTTGCAAGCTTGTCAATGGATATCCAAAACTTTATCGAAACACAAATCAACAACAACATCGATTTACAACTTTCTGATTTATTGTTAGTAGTTCAGAGAAAAATTGGCAATATATTAGCAGGTGATGCGGGTAGTCTCGTACCAACAACTCAAGATGAGAGCATTTTGGAATCATTTACGATTGGCGGAGAAACAGCTGCATTGTGCATCGTTCAATTCCTTCTTGGAGCTTAAAAATGAATAAATAAAGTTTAAAAAAATGGACATAATCTTAAAATACTTGAAACACAGATTAAATATTTATTTCAATTAACAGATGTAAATGCACACATCTGATGACATTTTCCTCCTCATCCATTTGTTGATGCTCACTTAATTATCATTTTTAATGTCGCATAAATTTTCGTCGCACGCTTACTTTATTAAATTGAGGAAACTAGATGTGCCGGCTGATCAACATACGTACTTTAATGGAAGAAAAGCTTATTTTTCGTGGTTTCAAGCCCCTTCAACACTAAAAAGTAGTTAATAGTGGTTTTTAACCCCTTTAAATGTAGTTTAGTAAAACGCATGTAGTTTCATACCCCTTAAAAAACTTGAAAAGCATGTTTTTCATAGTTTCAAGCCCTTTTAATAGTAAAATGCTAGTTAATCGTAGTTTCAACCCATTGCAATCCTGAAAAGCTAGTTAATAATAGTTTAAGCCCCTTAATAGTAAAAAGCTAGTTTATCGTATTTTCTAGTCCTTTTAAAAGTAAAAATCTACTTTATTGTAGCTTCATACCGCTTAAACTGTGAAAAACTAGTTAATCGTAGTTTTAATCCCCTGCAAAACTGAAAAGCTAGTTAATCATAGTTTCAAGCCCTTTTAATAGTAAAAAGCTAGTTTATCCTAGTTTCATACCCCTAAGAAACTTGAAAAACTAGTTTATCATAGTTTCAAGTCCCTTTATTAGTAAAAAGCTAAATTATCCTAGTTTCATACCCCTAAAATGGTGAAAAGCTAGTTTATCCTAGTTTCATACCCCTAAGAAACTTGAAAAACTAGTTTATCATAGTTTCAAGTCCCTTTAATAGTAAACAGCTAGTTTATCCTAGTTTCATACCCCTAAAATGGTGAAAAGCTAGTTTTTCGTAGTTTCTTACCCCTTAAAAAACTTAAATAGCTAGTTAATCATAGTTTCAAGCCCCTTTAATAGTAAAAATCCAGTTTATCTTTTTTTCTAGTCTTTTTAAAAGTAAAAAGCTAGTTTATTGTAGCTTTATACCCCTTAAATTGTGAAAAGCTAGCTTATCGAAGCTTCAAGTTAAGGCAATTGTGAAACGCTAGCTGATCGTATTTTTATGTCCCGTATTTTTTTTATCGTGAATATTAGTAAAGTTGAAATCCCTTGTTCTTAAACAAGTGACTTTGTCGTAGTTGCAAACCCCTTGAATCAAAAAAAATATGATTTTATCTTTGGTTCTTGGCTCTAGAGTGGACTTGGCTTTAGTTTTATGACTTTAAATATTACAAAAATGAATTTTGTGTAGCTACAGATCTCTGTATAAGAACTAAGGTTGGCTTCAGGAGCTAAAATGATACTCCACCTTTAAATTTGACTTTGACTGGCGAAAGCAGCCAAGTAAGTAAAGCTGTAGCAAAAAATAACGCACGCTGTTATTTCCCGCATATCTTCTCATGCATTACGAAATAATCATCAAGATCCCGTGACTTTGATATATGGATTAAGTGCCTCACGCAAAAAAAAATGTTTTTTTCCTACCTTTTTTATCTGTTTTGCAGCTATTTTAAGATCAGAAAGATTTCCATTTTATTTTTAGAAAACAATTTTTTTCTCGCAAAATTTTCACTTTTTTTTGCTGTGGCTGACGTAAAATGAAAAAGGTTTTACTTCTCTTCCTGAGTGTCTCGTGGACTTTTTATTTGTTATTATTTTTGTTTGTTTTGATGTTAATTAATTAGGTCTTTAAAATGACGACTGTGATTTATGGACATGATTTCAAGGTTGGATGAAGTTGGCAATGAAATAATTTGATGTCATTTTGGATTTTGATCGAGGGGGATAACAACATGGTGGGGAATAATTTGGATGGGAAATGTTCAGCAGCTATGAGAAACTTCACATCTATGTTTATTGTCATAAATCTTAGACACAATGCATAACTTAACTTTGGATAAGTTTTTGATAGTTCCCCATCATGTTGTTATCCCCCCTTTGATTTGATGGAGTATATGAGTCAGGCGCAAAGCCAAGCGGTGGAATTTTGTTGACTTCCTTCGTTTGCTTTCTTCGTTTTTCAATTTTTTTATGAAAACATCCTAAAAATCCCCCCACCCTAAATATTCCATATAAAAATTTTTTTGAACCCCCCCCCCCCCTCTTTAAATTCCTCGCTACGCTCATATTGTAAGTCCATTAAAAATTGTGTATGAGATGAAATAAATCATAGTCAACATCATCATTAGAAAATTCATAATTAATTTGTTAAATTAGACTCGGCAAGTCATTCAACTGAGTCAAAAGTTGGCAGTCTTTGATGAATTCTCGTTATTTTATATGACTTAATTAATTAAATGCAGAGCTTGCTGTTGAATCAAGACGAGTGCTTGTGCATTTAACAATTCGGTACCCCGGATTTGCTTACAAGCGGTCATTGAACCTCTTTTACATGCAAAGCTTAATAGAACAATAGAAAAAAAACCAAAACAAATGTTGATAAAGTAAACAAACCGAAATTCCAACTTAATCAACAAATTTGAGTCATACCAAAGATTACTTCATGACTTGATCATTCCTATTAATCATATCGCACATAATCACATCTTTTGCTAATTTATTTGACGTGCCAATTTGTTTTACACAGATTTTGTTGCTATTTTTACCGTGGGAACTGTGATGGATAGCTCATCGATGTGTTAAAAATGTACAAAAGTTGATTTTAAGGTTGAATAGCTTTTGGTGCGTGAGGGGTTGAGGATGTATGGAGGATACAAGGGAAGGAGCCAAGAAGTCATTAAATTTGACCAAAAATTTGGAAAATATCGCAAAAATATCGCAAAAAAAATTTATTTTTTGCAATTTCACCTCAAAAAATCTGCAAAAAATTGAATTTCACCTCAAAAATCCCTGGAAAATCTTCAGCAAATCCTCAATTTTCACTTTTTCACATTCAACAATTTGTCCTTCAATATTTAAAGTCCACAAATTAAAACTGTTGATATCACAATTTTTTCATCAATTTCAATTTGTTTTCAATTTTTCTCCACTTTTAAACTTTTCAATTTGATTTTTTTCACAATTTTTCACTTTTACATTGCAAAATTATCAAAAAATTTCAATTAAATTAATAATTTTTGCAGACCTTAGCTCATTTTTTTGTTATGAAAGATTTTTTTTTGGCTCTCACACATTGTTATTTTTATGATTCCCGGCAAGAACTGTCTTTCTATCTCACTCGGGTTTGTTGTCTTGCTGGCTGTTTTGGATGTTTTGTGGTTTAGTCAATAGATGGCGTTGGATGATGAGTTTGAATGCTTTGACTGTCGTTGACGTTTTGTTCTCGACTCTCGCTTTTAATTATTAAATTGTGCTGATTATCAGCAAGCTCAGTCTACATTTGAACTCCTTTCACATCGGTTGATGCAGAATTGACTTATTTGCTTGCTGAACTAAAAAATAACTTTAAAATATGCAATTAGCAACTTTGTTCTTAATGTTCTTATTTTCTGATGCTGCAATTGGCTATACAAGGACTACAACAACAACAAGATCTACGAGAGGATCTTCAAAAAGGCTTACTCCTTGGATTGAGGTAAAAGTTCATTTTTCTTCTTTCAAATCAAATTAAAAGTTTTTAATACCAATTTTTCTTCAAAAAAGGGCTGTGGTAAAGCAAAAGTGGGAATTCCAACAATTGTTGGGGGTACTCAAGTCGACAAAGGGTCTCATCCATGGTGAGATTTGATTGAATTTGTTTAAACTTTGCAATTATCCAGGGGTAAACAACACGGTGGGTAATTTAGCATACTTTCATGCTCTTCATGTTGTTTACCCCTTGCATCTTTTATTCACGTTATTGTCCCCTTGAATAAGATCACTTTCATGATGATATCCCCATGAAAATCACCTTTCATGTTGTTATCCCCTTGTAAATCTTCCCTTCATTTTGTTATCCCCTTTCAAAAATTTTCCTACATGTTGTTATCCCCTTGCAATTTTTTCATTCATGTTGTTGTCCCCTTGCAAAATTTTCATTCATGTTGTTATCCCCTTGCAATTTGTTTGTTCATGTTGTTATCCCCTTGCAAATCGTCTCTTTATGTTGTTATCCCCTTGCAAAATTTTTCATTTATGTTGTTATCCCTTTGCAAAATTTTTCCTTCATGTTGTTATCCCCTTGCAAAACTCCCTTTCATTTTGTTATCCCCTTGTAATTTTTTCCTTCGTGTTCTTATCCCCTTGAAAAAATTTTCATTCATGTTGTTATCCCCTTGCAAAACTCCCCTTCATTTTGTTATCCCCTTGTAATTTTTTCCTTCATGTTGTTATCCCCTTGCAAAATTTTTCATTCATGTTGTTATCCCATTGCAAAACTCCCCTTCATTTTGTTATCCCCTTGTAATTTTTTCTTTTATGTTGTTATCCCCTTGCAAAATTTTTCCTTCATGTTGTTATCCCCTTGCAAAATTTTTCCTTCATGTTGTTATCCCTTTGCAATTTTTTCATTCATGTTGTTATCCCTTTTTAATTTTTTCCTTCATGTTGTTATCCCTATTGCAAATAAATCCAACTACAAAAAATATATCCCCTTATATTGTTATCCCCTCATCATTAAATAATCCAGGATCGCAGCATTGATAGACAATACCAAAGGATACTTCTGTGGGGGGACTTTGATCACCAAAAGATTAGTTCTAACAGGTTTGCACTTCCAAAAACATTCCAATTTCTACGCTAACTTATCCTATTTCTTTACAGCCGCTCACTGCATCCTAGATATAAACTTTGAAATGCAACCAGAAGACCTAACAGTTCTCCTAGGTGCACATCAGCTCAACAGTCCAAACGACATTGGCAAGAGATCATACGGAGTCGAAAGCATTAATCCACATAATAACTGGAATCCGCACACAGTTAAATATGATGCTGACATTGCAGTTTTGAGGTTAAATGAAGATGTAAGCTTTAGCACATATATTCAGCCAGTGTGTCTTGCAAGTTTAAGTATGAGCCTCTCACCTTTTAAAAATGGAATTGTCGTTGGATTCGGTAAGAGTGAAACAAGCTATTCACATGAGAATGTCCCGATTAAAGCCAACACACCAATCAGATCAGCTCAGGACTGCTACAACGAATTCCCATCAATCCTCAATATTGCATCACGTCGGACATTTTGTGGTGGATATGCTAATGGAACTGGTGCATGTACTGGCGATAGTGGAAGTGGATTGACTGTCGTACAAGATGAAGTTCATTATTTACGTGGAATTGTGTCTGCATCGTTGAAGGATGAGACTTATGGATGCGATTTGAATTCTTACTCAATTTTTACAGATTTAAAGTTTTATTTGAATTTTATAAAAAAATTTAACTATTAAAAAGGTCGAATAAAGGTTTTGAATTATTTGATCAAATATTGTGACTATAAAAGCGAAGCTAGAGGTGCAGGTGCGTAGCCAGGAGGGTATTGTACCACTTTTAAGCGTTTTAGGCCGTGCTCTCGCTGCGGTTCAAAACGTGTAAGGATGGGGGGGGACAAGACCCTCCTGGCTACGCGCCTATAGAGGTGTAAAAGTGGTGAAAAAAATTCATGAAATTCCACAAACCGTATGTCGTGTGCGGTTTCGGTGGTACGGAAAAAAAAGGTTTGACACCACTGGTTTAAATAAAATGACTTATTTTTTTACATTTTTAATTATTTTAAGCATTTTTGGTTTGTTTTTTCATGAAGTTGTTTCCCCCCTGAGCTAGTTTCTAGTGCTAAACGGCAAGGAAGACGACAAAAATGTTTTATGTCAAATGTTTTATATTTAATCGCAAAAATTAATTGCTTTTCGTCATTTTGGGGAATTCCAAGTTTAAAGGTTCTCAGTTCAGTTTCTATCGACTCATCTCGTCGAGTGTGTGTAGAATAAGTCTCTTTATAGTAAATCATTAAATACTTGATTCAGAATTTCATCTTTTCTCTCTTTTTGACTCTTTAAATATAAAAAAATGCTCAGTCTCAATGTTTACTTTCGTGTCGTCAGACGTTAGTTCCTCATTTTGCTGCTTTTGTTTTTAAAACTTTTGATTTTTTTCAAAGAAGTGAGTATTTTTATGGTAAAGGCAGTGATGCAGTAAGAAGGGGGGTGGAAGAGGTTCTGAGTGGGTCTTGGAATCAAAAATTGTATACAAAGATGCATAGCCAGGGGGGGGAGGGGGGTGATTTGGGGACAAATTCCCCAACTAAAAAGAAATTTCTTTATTTTGCTAGGGTTTTTAGGAAAAAACACAAAAATCCCCCCCCCCCCCCCCCCCGTTACAAAAAAAAAATTTGTCCCCCCCTCTTCAAATTCCTGGCTACGCCCCTGCAAAAGTGATCAAAATCAAGTTCTAAAGCAAAGGAGCTTAAATTTGCCTTTGGGTTTACAATTTAAGACTTAGTCTACAATGGAGCATGAAGTAATTGGCCCCCCAAATCCCAAAATCCCTCCTCTGTCTACGCGCCTAATGTAAATCTTCCGTATGATTCTGAACAGAATTCACAAACAATATTTTTATTATTATCTTCGTCTGACTATGAAATTCCAATAATTTTGCATGATTATCATTTATTTACTCTAAAGCAGCTCTGAACACTTCTAGCTTTAACTGATACCTTGACTTAGAAGTTCAAATATAGTCTCCAAGTCACATTAAAAGCTTTATATTGACACAGCTAGTTGGATGTCTCTAGAACAGCTCTAGAATCCATTAAGCTACGCTTCTTTAAATTAATAGTCTCCATTTTTATTATTTTTAGGCTCACTAGGTTCCATAAAATGCCTAAAAGAATCCTCAATCTTCTGTTGCTATTCATAGCAGCCCTAACCCCATCAGCCTTAGCAGGAACAGCATTTTGTAGATTCGAACACACTTCAAGGTACCAAAGTGACTTGTTAACTGATGAAATCACTGGATACATGTGCAATTTAGACTTGGACATTAAAGGTGATCGTGTAAATGACGTTGGTGGATATCATGAAGGTGGAGAACGTGACAGTCAAGTTGATATAATCAAGGTCCTGCCAGATTATTACAGCTACTTTACCTCATTTCCTAAAACATTCTGCAGTAGATTCAATAAATTGGAAATTATCGACATGAGTCGTGCTGAAATTAAAACAATCGAAGCTGATTCGCTTGAAAAGTGCAAAGATTTGAGGATCTTGCAGTTCTACATGAACAAGTTTAACAGAATTCCAGAAAATTTACTGGCCAAGAACCAAAAGCTGCTGAAAGTTTTCATAACTTTTAACTCAAAACTCAGAATTTTACCTAAAAATCTATTTTCGGGTTTAGAAGAACTGCAGCTGCTTGATTTGTCATACAATATAATTGATCATTTACCAAATGGCATCTTTGAGGACAATAATGATCTTAAGGAACTTAATCTTGAAGCCAATAACATAGCTGACCTAGAAACGGGATTATTTGACAAGCTGACAAACCTCAAAATCCTTAAAATTAATGACAATCAAATCTCTGATCTTTCGCCTGATATCTTTGCAAACTTAGCGAATCTTAAAACATTACATCTACAAAGTAACAAGCTGACCATCATTCATGCTGATGCATTCCCACAACAAGCTAATATTGACATGGTCGCGTTTAATAAGAACAAAATTAATGCAATCGATGAAGGTTTTATAGACAATTGTGAAGTTTCTAACCTCAAAATGGGCGGTAATGTCTGTGATAAAACTAGTTTGATCAGGAAGAAGGACATCAAGGCAAGGTTAACTAAATGTTTTACAAATTATGAAAATATAAGTAAGTAGTTTGATATTGGAGAGGAGGGGGGAGAGGGGGTGGGGGAGGGGGTGGGGGAGGGGGGGACTTTGACCATTTTTGATTATTTAGGCACTCTTACAAGAAGTGGTTTAGATCCTATTGAATGGGTCTTGACCCGCAAATAAAAAGGTTGAGAACTCCTGTAAAGTAGCTGTATCGAAGGATTCTAGCAAGCAGTCAAAGCATAAAAGCAGAGTCTATGACTCGAACATAAAACTAAATTTTCTCTGTCTGTAGATCCGACAAACGTTGAACGACCAACAACACCGAAGTTAATAACGTCAACAACTGAAGCAACAACAACAACAACATTAAGCAGAACAAGATCAAAAATAACAACTTCAACAACGACAGTAAAGCCAGCAACAACGACAATCAAGTCAACAACAACAACGACCAGTAAAACTCAAACTCAAAAGCTTGAATCTTATTACGGAGTAAGACTTTTGCATTATTTTTCTCATTTTAAATACTAATAAACTCCTTAATAATCACCAGCCATGTGGAATAGCAAAAGCTGCAGCATTTAATATGATTAGAGCAACTGAAATCGCAAAGGGTTCACATCCATGGTAAATTATTGAAATAGTTGACAAGTCGAACTGAATTAAACAATTTATATTGCAGGATTGCAGCATTAATCCACAAGACTGAGGGATATTTCTGTGGAGGAACTCTTTATACAACAAGATTGGTTGTTACTGGTGAGTTTTAAAATTTTTGAGAGAGATTTCAAAATTTGAAAAATGTCTGGAAAAATGTTAAAAATTTGAATTTTTGAAAAACCGTTAAAAATTTTGAATTTTAGAAAACCGTTAAAGTTGTTAACAATTTGGATTTTTGAAAACCGTTGAAAATTTGAGTTTTTGATACCCGTTAAAAATTTGAATTTTTGAAACCCTTTAAAAATTTGAATTTTTGAAACCCGTTAAAAATTTGAATTTTTGAAAACAGTTAAAAATGTGAATTTTTGAAAATTGTTAAAAATTTTGAATGTTAAAAAACCGTTAAAACTTTAAATTTTGAAAAAACCGTTAAAGTTTTTAGATTTTGAAGAGTTGTCAAAAAATTACAGCTTTAACAAAATTGACTTTAAAATTAGATTTTTAAAAAAAAAGCAATAAAATTTGTTTTCTAGCCGCCCACTGCATCAAGAAAAAGGACACAAAAGAAAAGGAGGCTTCAGACATTTCTGTACTGCTTGGCGCTGACGAACTTGACAACCCAAACGAGCAAGGAAGAAAGAAATTCTCAGTTGAGAGCATTCATATCCATAATGCTTGGAATCCACATACTATTAAATATGATGCAGACATTGCTGTCTTAAAACTAAGTGGAAATGTCACCTTTGGCACCTGGATCCAACCAGTTTGCATCGCAAAATTTAATGCTCCACTTAGTTATTTTAAAACTGGAATTGTCGTTGGATTCGGGAAGACTGAAAAGGAAGGAACACACTCAAATGTTCCAATGAAAGCCAACACACCAATTCGAGAGTCTGATGACTGCTACAATGAATATCCAAGTCTTATAAAAATTGCAAGTCACAAAACATTTTGTGGTGGCTTCGCTAATGGAACTGGTGCGTGCACAGGTGACAGTGGCGGTGGATTGACTGTCGTTCAAGATGATGTTCATTATTTGAGAGGAATTGTGTCTGCGTCACTACATGGAACCGACTACGGATGCAATGTTGAGTCATACTCAATTTTTACTGATGTCAAATTTTTTTTACCTTTTATGAAAAATATTTAAAATGGACCGAATAAAAGAAGCTAGTTTTGATGATTGTTTTTTGATTTTTATTTACAATTTACTAGGTTTCAGAGTTTCTTGAGAGCATGTTTGCAAGAACCAGCCCTGACCATAATTCATCATCTTCAGTGGTTCTCAAACTATGTTCCACGGTGCATTACTGCTCTTACAGAAAATCCTAGGCTGTGTTATGTGGGGGGGGGGGGGGGGGGGGGGGGATGGTTGGGGGTCCACAATTAACCTCAGCCACTCCCATCCCGCTTTCTCAACTCCTAAGGATGCTCTTTGTCAGCTTGAAATTATTGTGCTTGCAAAATCACAGCTGATGCCATCATCAGCAGGGAATCACAAGATTAATAACAAGCAATAAGGGGTCGTTCACCTATGACGTCCGAAATTAACGGTCATTTTTCAAAAAAGAACAATAGATTTCTTAAAATTTCTGTTTTTTTTTGTTGCTGGACCCCCCTGGACATCATAGGTGAACGACCCCTAATGACGTCCGAAATTAACGGTCATTTTTCAAAAAAGAACAATGGATTTCTTAGAATTTCTATTTTTTTTTTGTTGCTGGACCCCCCCTGGACGTCATAAGTGAACGGCCCCTAATAACGTCCGAAATTAACGGTCATTTTTCAAAAAAGAACAATGGATTTCTTAGAATTTCTGTTTTTTTTTGTTGCTGGACCCCCCCCCCCCCCCCCCCTTGGACGTCATATGTGAACGGCCCCCAATGACGTCCGAAATTAACGGTCATTTTTCAAAAAAGAACAATGGATTTCTTAGAATTTCTATTTTTTTTTGTTGCTGGACCCCCCCTGGACGTCATAGGTGAACGACCCCTAATGACGTCCGAAATTAACAGTAATTTTTCAAAAAAGAACAATGGATTTCTTAGAATTTCTATTTTTTTTTGTTGCTGGACCCCCCTGGACGTCATAAGTGAACGGCCCCTAATAACGTCCGAAATTAACGGTCATTTTTCAAAAAAGAACAATGGATTTCTTAGAATTTCTATTTTTTGTTGCTGGACCCCCCCCTGGACGTCATAGGTGAACGACCCCTGAGAGCAATTGAGTATTATACTCAGTGAAATATCATTGTGAGATGATTTTGGTTATAAATTTGTTCTCTCTTAAGTTTGTCAATTCACTTGTTCATTCGCTTGTAACGTCTACAATTTAAGAAAGTAAAGAAAAAGGAGGGCAATGGCTATGTCTAGGTTTTCCTGAGTGACCCGTTCTTTGATTTAAATGCCAAAGATGACCACCTGCTTCTCATAATGGCCCTGGAGCTTCCACAAAAGATAAATGAGATGATTCTACAAAAACCGTTGAGCGTAATGTCCCAAAATCCACAAATTTTGCCTGTACCTCAGAAGTGCATAACCTTGTGTGTCGCGGTACTCTAAAATCTCATTGACAACTGTTAAAATAGTCAAAAAAATAATGTTTTGAACACTTAGATGTGTCATGATGTAAAAAAGGTTGATCAGCACTGCAATACTTTTATAATCTGAATTAAGGAATAGCAGAGCCATTTTATTCAGTCTCAATTGTGAATTGTATCTGATCAGTCATTATAATTTTTCTGTAAGAAATTCATATTTTCTGCTCATTTGTGAAGCACAATATTCATTTCGTCCTAATCTTTTCATATTTAAATTTATTATTTAGTTCAAATGTCGTTTATTTTCATATCAGTTCATATTAAATTTAAACGGGAATCCCCACAAAATTACTTTTTTATTTATTTCATTCTGAAAAATGTTTATTTTTTGATGCAGTGAAATTTAAAAAAAAATGGACCATAAATCATTTCTAATCTTCATACTCACGACAACGACTTATAAGTCATCAGTTTTGGCGGGAACAGCATTTTGTACATTCGAACACACTTCAAAGTACCAAAGTTACTTGATATCTGATGAAATCACTGGATACATGTGCAAATTAGACTTGGACATTAAAGGTGATCGTGTAAATGACGTCGGTGGATACCATGAAGGTGGAGAACATGACAATCAAGTTGATATAATCAAGGTCCTGCCAGATTTTTACAGCTACTTAACATCATTTCCTGAAACATTTTGTAAAAGGTTCAAGAAATTGGAAATTATCGACATGAGCAGCACAGAAATTGCAACAATCGAAGATAACTCGCTGAGTCTGTGTAAGGATTTGAGAATCTTGCAGTTCTACATGAACAAAATTGAAATAATTCCAGAAAAATTGCTAGCTGAGAACACAAAGTTGTTGCGACTTTACATAACCTTCAATTCCATTAAAACTTTGCCAGAAAATCTACTAAATGGATTGAAGGAATTGAAAATATTGGACTTGTCCTACAATAAAATTGACAATTTACCCGAAAATATCTTACGTGGCCTCGCAGACCTCAAAGATCTCAACCTAGAAGGAAATCAAATCGAAGATCTTGGAGAAAATTTATTCGATAGTCTAGAAAACTTGGAAACGCTCAATCTCAACAGCAATGAAATTTTTGACTTACCAGCTGGAATTTTTAACGACTTAAAAAGTCTAAAGCAGTTTTATATCCAACAGAACAAGCTGACAATCATCCATGCTGACTCATTTCCTCAAAATATTCAACTTGACATTGTGTCATTCTCAAAAAATCAAATCGAAGCAATTGATGAATTGTTTATTGAACGTTGTGGAGTATCTAGCATCAAAATGGGAGGAAACATCTGTGACCGATCAAATTTAATCAAAAATAGGGACATAAAAAAGAGGTTGAATGCATGCTTTGAGGGATATAGAAATAAAAGTAAGGCTTAGTTAAGTTTGATGAATCTAAGTCCTATCTTAGTCTCTTATCCTAGTCTCCTATCCTAGTCTCCCTTCCTAGTCTCTTATCCTAGTCTCTTATCCTAGTCTTCTATCCTAGGCCATTCTACAAAGCTCAAAGTCAATACAGTTAGAGTTGACTTGGAGTCGACTTTGAGCTTTGACTCCGACTATGAATATGAAAATGTTTTCTTTTCTTTTAAAGTGGAGCTTAATGCTGCAGAGGAAAGGGAATTGGTCACACAACCTACCACTACGACTACTTATAAACCAAAAATGACAACTCCTAGACCAACGACAAGCAGAACCACAACAAGGTCTACAACCAGAAAAACAACTGAATCAACAACGAAACGGACTTTGCCAAGAATAACAACCGCAGAACCAAAGACCAATAATCAGCAGCTTGTCCCATGGATTCAGGTTAAGACTATTTTTTTAAATTCACAAAAAATTTTCCATAAGTTTTGATTTTTTTTTTGAAGCCATGCGGAATATCAAAAGCTCCTGTCCAGAATATCATATTAGGAACTACAGTTATTAAAGGAACACATCCATGGTAAATACTTGATTTGATCTTGATCAAAGATGTGGGGTTTGGAGGGGTCAGACCTCTCAAGGGGCTTTTTTTTTTTCTTTAACTTTTAAGCTAGAGTGTTGATTTGGGAGAGGGGCAGAGCCAGGAAGATCTGGAATTCTAATAGTTTTGAACCGCAGCGAAAGCACAGCTTTTAATTTTAATTGAGGGGGGGGGGGGGGGTCCAGACCCTCCTTGCTAAGCCTAAGCCTTGATTCTGTAACTCAGACTCTTAACAATTGGCTACTCCTTTTATATTTTTCATAGGATTGCAGTCTTGGTCGACAAAAATGGCAATTATTTCTGTGGTGGAACTCTTATTTCAAAAAGATTAGTCGTTACTGGTGAGTATTTGAATTTTTGAAAAATAAAACGGGTTAAAAATTCAAAATTTTAACAATTGTAAAGAGTTTGAATTTTAAAAAAACCGTTAAAAATTTAAATTTTTGAAAACCGTTAAAATTTAAATTTTTAAAAACCGTTATAAATTAGAAATTTTTTAAAAACCGTTGTAAAATGTCTAGCTGCCCACTGTGTATTTGGGAAAAATTCAGTCGAGAAGACACCCGGTGACTTTGTAGTCTTATTAGGAGCTCATCAACTTGACAATGAAAACGAAGTTGGTCGAAAAACTCATTTAGTATCCAACATCCGAGTTGATAGAAACTGGAACCCGAATTCAAAAAAATTTGATGCTGACATTGCTGTTTTAGAATTAAATGAGGAAGCAAAGTTCGGCACGTGGATTCAACCAGTTTGTCTACCAAAGATCAGCGCACCACTCAAGAATTTCAAATTTGGCGAAGTCGTTGGATTCGGAAAGACTGAAAAGGAAGGAACACACTCAAATTTTCCAATGAAAGCCAACACACCAATTCGAAAGTCTGATGACTGCTACAACGAATATCCAACTCTATTAAATATTGCAAGTCACAAAACATTTTGCGGTGGCTTCGCTAATGGAACTGGTGCGTGCACAGGTGACAGTGGCGGTGGATTGACTGTCGTTCAAGATGATGTTCATTATTTGAGAGGAATTGTGTCTGCGTCACTACATGGAACCGACTATGAATGCAATGTTGAGTCATACTCAATTTTTACTGATATTCGATATTATTTTAATTTTATTAAAAATGTTTAAAATTAATTAAAATAAAGGAATTGACAAATTATGACGTCATGCTGCGTTATTTCCAACAATAAAAAAAATGAGTATAAAGTAATTTCAGGCATGTCCAGAGAGTCAATCTCAGAGATTTCTTTTCAGAGCAATTTAGCAGTTTATTTAAAATTATTAAATTAGTCTCAATTTTCTCTTTGGATTGTTCGGTTGTAGTATCACTCAAACTGTCTGAAACATTATCTCGTGCTTGCTGTTTTATTTAAAATTAAGGTGCGATCCATAAAAAGGTGAAAAGTTCAAATTTGTGTGATTAATGTTTTTTAATTGAAAGAATCTTAATTTAATCTTTTTATAATTTGGCATAGACATGGACCTAAGACTTACACTTTGTCTCCTTATACTAATCTATGGATCATCAGTTTTGGCGGGAACAGCATTTTGTACATTCGAACACACATCAAGGTACCAAAGTGACTTAATATCTGATGAAATCACTGGATACATGTGCAAATTAGACTTGGACATTAAAGGTGATCGTGTAAATGACGTCGGTGGATACCATGAAGGTGGAGAACATGACAATCAAGTTGATATAATCAAGGTCCTGCCAGATTTTTACAGCTACTTAACATCATTTCCTGAAACATTTTGTAAAAGGTTCAAGAAATTGGAAATTATCGACATGAGCAGCACAGAAATTACAACAATCGAAGCTAACTCATTGAGTCTGTGTAAAGACTTGAGAATCTTGCAGTTCTACATGAACAAAATTGAAATAATTCCAGAAAAATTGCTGGCTGAGAACACAAAGTTGTTGCGACTTTACATAACCTTCAATTCTATCAAAACTTTGCCAGAAAATCTACTAAATGGATTAAAGGAATTGAAAATATTGGACTTGTCCTACAATAAAATTGACAATTTACCTGACAACATCTTCAAAGACCTTAAAAACCTAAAAGAGCTTAACTTAGAAGCAAATAAGCTGGAAGCAATCGAGCCAGTTTTATTCGAAAACCTTGAAAAATTAGAGAAGCTCAACCTCAACAACAATGACATTTCTGAGCTTCCTGTCGCACTGTTCAACCCATTTCCGAATCTTAAGCATCTGTCATTAAAAGACAACAATTTGACAGTCATTCATGCTGACTCATTTCCACAACAAGCTAATATTGACATGGTCGTGCTTAGTAACAACAAAATTAAAGCAATTGATGAATTTTTCATTGATAACTGTGGAGTGGCTAACCTCAAAATGGGCGGGAATGTCTGTGATAAAAGTAAAACAATAAAGAAGAAGGACATGAAGCAGAAGCTGCAGACATGCTTTGAAAACTACTTAAAAATTCAAAATGATGGTAGGTCCATAAGCTTTGCATACGATAATTTTTAAAGATATATTTTTCATGATTTTTAGAAGATTCTGAACCTTTTACAATAACGAAGCCAACAACCACAACAACGAAGTCGACAACAACTAAGCCGAGGACAACAACAACAACAAAACCTGCAAGGACGACAACTACGATAACATTCAAACCTACAACAACAACTACTAAAGCTACTACAACAACCACCAAAGCAACAACGACTACATTGAGAACTACAACGTCGACCCTTGAACCAACAGTCACCACATCAGTTCCCCAAAGGTCCCCAAAAGGAATCACAGCTTTATATGAGGTAATTTATTTATTTTTTTTTAAAACCTACAATTTTACTAATTTTTCAACAACACTTAGCCATGCGGAGTTTCAAAAGTCGGAATCCCAAATGTCGTAAATGGAATTGAGATTAATCATGGTACTCATCCATGGTAAGGAAGGGAATGGGTTTGATTTCAATGGTATTACTAAGTCTAATATGCTTACGATTTCAGGATTGCTGCAATCATTTATGATAATAAATACTTGTGCGGCGGTACATTGGTGACTGGCAACAAAGTTGTTACAGGTTTGTATGGAGATTGATGCGTTTTAGTGTTATGGGGACACGGGGGGATGGCTTTGAACTACATTAAGGAACCAGTTAAAAGCTTTAGCAACATTGAGAGGTTTAGGAGGAACTAAAGGAGACTTAGCAGTAAGGAGGGCTTAAGGGTACTGAAAGGGGGGCTTGGAAGTACAAATCAGGAGACTTAGGGGTACTAAGGGTACTTAAGGGGACCTAGGGGTACTTAGGGGGACTTAGGGGTACTAGAGGGGGCTTAGGGTACTGAGGAGGATTTAGGGTTACTAAAGGAGACTAAGGGGTTCTAAGGGAGACTTAGGGAGGTTAAGAGGGACTTAAGGGGTACTGTGGGGGACTTAGGGGTACTTAGAGGGACTTAAGGTGTACTGTGGGGGACTTAGGGGTACTAAGGGAGGACTAGGGATACTAAGGGGGACTTAGGGGTTCTAAGGGAGACTTAAGGGTACTAAGGGAGACTAAGAGGGACTTAAGGTGTACTGTGGGGGACTTAGGGGTACTAAGGGGGATTTCAAAGGTACTGAGGGGAACTGAGAGGCACTTAGAGAAGATGAGTGAGACTTAGAAAGGCTTAATGAAAAACTGAAGAGTTTCTAAGGTACCAAGACTGACTAATTGATTTAATTGAGGCTAGGAGGTTCAAAGAAGTTAAGTTTGTTAAGATTTGAACCCTAAAACACTTTTTTAAGCTTAATCTTAAATTATCCTTGAATGACCATTCAGATGCACCTAACCCCACTTTTACCCTCCAAAAACACAACATCTTAATTAGTGAATAATCTCAATCAGTTTCAAATCTTATCACAATTGTACTTCCTTTATTTAGCCGCCCACTGCTTCCACGGAAAGGACATAATCGAAAAGCAAGAAGACAAAACAGTGGTTCTTCTAGGAGCTCATCAACTTGACAACATGAATGAAGTTGGTCGTGTTACCGTTGGAGTCAATAAAATTATTGTCAATCCGAAATGGAATCCAATAGCCGAACGATATGATGCAGACATTGCCATTTTGATGCTTAATGAAGAAGTCACATTTGGTTATTACATTCAACCAGTTTGCATAGCAAAGATTAGTGCTGACATTAAGAATATGCATGATGGAGTTATTGTTGGATTTGGAAAGAGTGAATTGTCAGTTTCCCATGAAAATGTGCCCAGGAAAGCCAGCACACCGATCCAAAAAAGTGAAAATTGTTTTGATAAATTCCCCAATATGGCAGGCATCGCTTCTCATCGAACATTTTGTGGTGGTAATGCTAATGGAACTGGATCATGCACTGGCGATAGTGGGGGTGGATTGACTGTTATTGATAATGGACGTCACTTCCTTCGTGGCATTGTGTCAGCTTCACTTTATGCTAACAAATATGGATGTGATGTTAATTCTTATGCCATTTTTACTGATGTTAGGTTTTTCACGTCTTTTATTAAGGATTCAAAATAAAGCAGTTTTTTTAAAATTCAATAAAATATTTTTCAACTGAATGACAGACGTACAGACAGACCACATCATAATCATCCTCTGTCACACTCTTTTTCATTTTACTTATCTTAATATTCTCAAATCTTCACTGAGAGAATCTCTTCGTCTTTAAGATTCTTGCTTAAATAAAATAAATATTTTCTCATTCAGTCTCAATTCGCTCTTTGAACAATTTGGTTGCATTAGTCAGAATACTTTATTCGAGGTAAGAAATTGATAAGGAACGCGTATTTTTATTGCATATTTAGCTTAAGTGAGCATAAAATAATACTTTTTCTCCATTTATTTAAGTATCACAAAGAGTTTAAGACTTACTATGGCCTTTTGGCATCTGCTGATAATAATCTTAAGCTTTACTTCATCCTACTTTATACCTGCATCAGCTGACACTGCATTCTGTTCATTTGAACACACCACAACGTACCGAAGTGACTTAATAACAGATAACATTTCTGGCTACCTCTGCGCACTAGATTTAGACATTAAAGGTGATCGGGTTGACCATATCGGAGGTAGTCATGAAAATGGTGAAACTAATAGTCAAGTTGACATTATTAAGGTTCTTAAAGACTTCAAAACATATCTGACGTCATTTCCTGACACATTTTGCAAACATTTTGAGAAATTGGAGATTATTGACATGTCAGGCACTCTAATTGAGACAATTGAGAATGAGTCGCTTGAAAAGTGTAAAGATTTGAGGATCTTACAGTTTTATATGAATAATATTAAGGAAGTGCCGGAAGATTTGCTGAAAAATAACAAAAAATTGTTAAGACTTTTCATTTCTTACAACAAAATCAGAATAGTGCCGAAAGATCTCCTGTCAGGACTGTCTAGTTTGGAGATTTTGGACTTATCCTATAATAAATTGGAGTACTTACACAGTGATGTTTTTCGAGACCTCAGAAATCTAAAGGAATTGAATTTAGAAGGAAATCTTATTGAGATTCTAATGCCAAACTTATTCAAAAATTTACAAAACCTAGTAAAGATGAGCGTGGCAACCAACGCGATCTCTGAATTGCCATTGTCAATTTTCTCGAATCTTGGTAAATTAAAGGAACTGATGTTGAAGAATAATCAGCTTACAGTCATCCATGCTGAGTCATTTCCTCAAAAAACTAAAATCAACTTTGTTGACTTTTCAAAGAATCGAATTGAAGCTATTGATGAATTTGTCATAAATAATTGTGAAATATCCAAACTTAAAATGGGCGGCAATGTTTGTGACAAGACAATGAACATTGGCAAGAAGGATATGAAGAAAAAATTGAAAAAATGTTTTGATAATTATAATATTCTTTATGGGAGTCAGATTGTAACTTTTGCTGAACCAGAAACAACAACCACAATTAAGACAACAACATCAAGGACAAAACGAACCAAACAAGCGACTACAACTGAACTAATTACATCCACAACTCAAAAACCCACGACAACAACTTCTGAGCCTGAAGCAACCACTTTTGACAAATCAACAACCACGATTAGTCGTCCAACAAAGAAGAGGACGAGACCTACGACTACAACCACGACAACTCCTGAATTACCAACCACAGCTGAGCCATCAAC